GGGGGGGGGGGGGGCCTTCGTGTCGGCGCTCGGCGACGATCCGCCCGCGGCGGCGGCGGCGGCCAGGAGGGCGGCGGCGGCGCCGAGGATCGGAAGGAGCGGCGGGCCGGTTGGCTTTGGCTTCGGCGGCGCGGGCCTGTGCGAGGGCAGGCAGGGGTAGAGGCACGCGCACGGCATATCTCCCCATATCTCCCCATAAGGTAGAGGCACGCGCACGGCATCGATGACCGGCTCTACGTCGGCATGACTACCGTCTCTCGTCTAGTGCTTCTCCTTCGCGCCGCTGTTCTGAGCGGTACTCTGGCGGATGTGCGTCTCTCCGAGGGCTGATAGGGCGACATGCGGGTAGCTGGCGATTATTCGGCATCTGGGCGTGCGGGCTTGAAGAAGAGCGCGTAGCCGGCGAGGAGGGAGAGGGAGGCGACGCCTTGCGCGCGGCGGTCGACGTACGTGCGCGAGCCAACCACCTTTGGCCCTGAGGGCGAGAGGGAGGGAGGAGGAGGTGGATGAGGAAAGGTGGTGAGCGCGGCGGTGAGGGTTGCGGTGAGGGTGACGGTTGGGAGGGTGGCAGTGGCGGGGTGGGGACCTGCGAGCGTGATCTTCTTCTTGTCGTAGCCTGTGCGCGAGATGCCGCGCCGGCCGGTCACCTAGAGGAGGGATGCGGGCATCACAGGCCGGCTAGTCCGCGGCGTTCAAGTGCAAGGTTGGAACGGCGATGGCAGGCAGCACATACCTTGTTGGCGTCACGAGCGGCGAGGTAGCTTCCCGAGGACGAGGGTAACATCGAGTCCTTCCACGAGGGGTTCCAGCCCTTTGCCGCGTACCGCGCGTCGGCGCTGCCGCGAGCGGCCGGCCTAGCAGGGGTGGGCTTCGCCGCCGGCCGCTTTGGCTTTGCGACGCTGACGCGCGGCCGGGACGCCTTTCCCGACGTGCGAGGCGGGGGCGTGACCTGCATGATCGGTTGCGCCGCTCGGGCCGGCGCGGTCGCTGCCAGAAGCGCGTGCGTCGGCGCGAGGAGACAGATGAGAGCACCGAGCATCCCAACTCAGATGAAGCCTGTCGAGGGTGCCGGTGTGGTTCCTCTGTGCCCATTCTTTATTCTTTTTTAAGATTGTACTGGTCCGGCTGCTGCTACGGAGGCTACACTCTAGGCGTTCGACACTCTAATGCATTCGACACAGGCGTCGTCCACCCTCTTCCCGGGCTACATCACTTTGGGGAGAAGGCGAAGATCCTTTTGATGTGTTCACAGAGCGACGGGCGAAAAAATGACGAACTCGGTGTAGGAATCCTATGAGAAGCCGGCGCCCTTACTTGGGCTCCTCGATTCACCACCTTGGGCAAGCACCTAACGACGCCGACGCCGAGCACCTTTGCCGAGCACCTCGAACGACGCCGACGCCGAGCACCTTTGCCGAAGTCCTTCTTCTGAGTTCTCGATGGGAGCCTGCGCGAGCTCCCCGTGCAATCCGCTTCACAGGACTGCCACCTATACGCTCGCCGATGACAAGGTGATGCAGCTAATCTCTGCAGAGCGATGTTCTGAACGCTGTGCCGACGGCCGTTATGCGCTGCACTATGCTGCGGCCAGCGGCTGCGCGTCTGCCTCGATTTGCGCGGCCATCCTGGACGCCTATCCCGAGGCGGTGCGCACACCGGATCGCGACGGCCACCTCCCTGCCCACGCTGCCGCCCAGTCTTGCGGTTCGGTGGCTGTCGCCGAAAAGATCCTCTCCGCCTACCCGGAAGCTGTGCACAAGAAGACAATGGCGCGTAGCTGCGCCGCCGCCCGACCCCGCTCCGCTTCCCACTCTCACCGCGAGCATATTCCTCTGCGCAGTTCGGCAAGACGCCACCTGACCGGGCGAGGGCATACAATCCGAGTGACGAGGCTCAGCAACGCCTCGCATGTCAACTCAGCATCCATGTAGAGGCACACTGTCACGCCCGCCATGCTGCACTCGCAGGTCAAGGCAATCTTCGAGGCGGTGGCCGCCGAGCTCCCGCCGCCGCCGTCGCGCCAGCCGACGACCGACCGCACGCGGCGATCCAGCCGCTCCGCAGCCAGGTCGGGCTCATCGCGCAGCGTCCACTTCTCGGCCGCCGTCGCCGTGGCCGTCTGAGCTGTAAGCGACGCGCAGGCGAGCGAGCCGCTCGCTCGCGTGCGCCGAAGTGAGACGGCGGCCTCTCTTCTGGCCTCGCACGGGTGACACATTTGGGGTGGGTAGGCAGTGGAGACGGGAGAGACGTGTGGTCTCGAGCAACTGTGCGTGTAGTGTGTGATCTGGTCGTGTGGCGCTGGTAAGGTGGCGCTCTTACGTATTAGTCTGTCTGGGACTGTCTCGCACACAGCAAACAAACACAAAATCAGAGAGAGCACAATACCAACCCAACTCAAAAAACAAATATAAGACGCTCACAAATCATTTGGGGCCTGGAGCCCTAAAAGATCAGCCAAGCCGCAGCCTCCGACGAAAAGAGAGGAGACAGAGCCTGAGAGTGCATCTCCATCTGACTATCTCCCGGATCCTGCTGAACAAGTTCCTCTTGATGTTTGTCCTCTTGTAGCTCGATCGGTCACACCGCCATCGCCGTCGGGCAGAGGGGGGACGACACTGCTTCAGCAGCGTGCACCTCGATCCTGTACCGTGTTTGTTATGACCCCCCCCAATGAACACACCAGTGAGGGAGGGCGAGACGATCGAGGGGTCCCGTACCATGCGGAATCGACCCTATCCAGTGCTCAAGTGCTCAAGGAGACAGAGCATTTATTAGATGACGGCCAAAGCAGGTATGAGCAAACAAACTATCCGTAGGCGCGAGGGAAGGTTCTTTTTCGGGAGTTTTAGCCGTACAAGCTGATCATCCTCGACGAGGCGAGATATAGCCGAGAGGTTGTAAAATTCTTTTTCGGCTCTCCGTGGTGTACCTGTGTTAGTGCCAGTGCGCGCCAGTCCCGCGCCTAGTGTTGCATTGTGAGAATAAAAATTCGGGGTTCGGTCGCGTGTCGATCATCGGATGATCTCGGTGAATAGAAGACGCTGTCAGCATCTGGACCTACGAGGACCAGGCATCACGGTCCACCAAAATAGCAAGCCAAGCTTCGCTCATGGCGGCGCATTTCCCTGCATGGCAGCGCCCTTTGGAGCGCCCGGGCAAAGAAGAAGGTCGCGACAGCATGCTTGCCCAAGCCTTCCTGTCCTCTGCCGTGGCAGCGCCCCAACCACCGCAGCGACCGCCGCCGCGGCGTGAGGGCGGCATGCTGCGCAAGAAGAAGCCTTTGCCTAGCTTGCCGGAGAGAAGATCCTCGCCGCAGGCGACTCGGGGGGCGAGCAGCAGGGCGAGCAGCAGGGCGAGGTATGGCGAACCACGTCAGGACGCGCTGTGCAGCAATTGGAGGGCCGCAGCGCCCGTGACTGCCGCAGCGAACGGCTCAAAGGCTCCTGCGGACCCCGAGATGGTTCGCAAGGCGAGGCTGTGCGAGGAGAAGGCAGTGCGTCAGGAGCGTTGGGTGGCGATGTGGGACAGACCAATTTCTGACCGGGGCTCGACGCCGAGGACGCCAGAAAATAATCCGTACTCGCTGAGCTGACTGTGAGGGCGCGTGGCTTGACCTTGCACCTTGGCCCGCCACGCACCGAAGGCTTGGCCGAAAGCCCTACATTGCACCGCCAGGCCTACCGCAGGTGTGCTGAGCGCGAACGGGCGGATGCGCACCAGAGGGGTCCGCCTCCCGGGGGACTGTGCTGTGTGCTGTCGGCTGGTGAAAGCGCGTCCCTCGCGTACCAAGGTACGGCTTTATGGGGATTATGCTGACGTACCTTGTGTGGACGCGCAGTGGCAGAAATTGGGGATGATGTAATGCATGTCCGGGTGAGTATCAAGCAATCTCTGTATTCGCCCAAATAATACACACACGCGCGCGCGGAGCGCAGCTGCCACACCCACAGCGGTCAGCGCGCTGCACCTGCAGGTGCAGCTCTCTGCCTCTGGGTCTGCTCAAAGCTCCGTCTCCTGTCGCTCTCTCACTCTCTCCTCTCTCGACAGCGAGCGCCCATCTAGATAGCCTCGGGCCTACGCGCGCCTCTTCGCCCCCATAGATTGCCGGCGCGAGGACTCTCTTGCCCCCGGCAGCAAGCGACGAACCACCACCGCCGCCCTCTCGACTCTTCCCTCCTCAGTGCAAGCTCTCGAGCCTCGCCACGCCATCGCGACGCCGTGCCGCCACGCGCGCCGCCACGAGGAGCGGCAGAGCGGCGGCAACGAGCACGAGCGCCGCGGAGAGGAGGGCCCGCGCTGATACCGCGCCCGCGAAGCCGCGCACTGTGGCGGCTGGTTGATCGGGCAGCAGCCACCAGCCGCCGCCGGCCTGCGGGTGGCGGGTGTTTGTGTGGCGGGTGTGTGTGGCGGGTGTGTGTGGCGGGTGTGTGTGTGTGTGTGTGTGGCGGGTGTGTGTGGCGGGTGTGTGTGAGAGGGGCGAGGTGGGGGGGGGAGGGGGGGGGGGCTTCACGTGGGAGCGAGACGATGAGGGGAGTGAGGCGTCGGGGGGGGGGGGCTACCATATCACCCACGGGACCGAACCCACACTGGGTTCGATCCTCTGGAGGTATGGTAGGCCTGAGCGAGTCCTCTCCACCGGGGGGGAGGGGGCATATGTGCAGGCCCCCAGTACGGATGTCGGGGCTCCTCACCACCCCCCGAGGTCCACCGGTGTGAAGGGGTACCCGCTGGGGGGTACCCGCAGTGTCAATCCGCCGAGTGTGGGTGGGAGACGCAGCCACTGGGTGGGGCAGACGCAGCCGGGCACGCGACGGGCACGGCGCTACGCCTCGCCTCCTCGGGCGGCACACCGTAGCCGTCGCACACGCCGCAAGTCGCGCGGCAGACGCGGGAGGCAAGAGAGGGCGCGGCGGCACACACGCCGCGGCTGTCGTCGGAGCAGCCTGAGGAGCCCACACTGAGAGCGCTCATGGGGGGGGAGGAAGGAAGGGGCAGAAGGCGTGGCTGTCGGCGGAGAGCAGCCTGCGACATCACTAGGAAGTGTCTAGGAAGTGTCTAGGAAGTGTCTAGGAAGTGACTAGGCGGAGAGCAGCCTGCGACGGTGTCGACACACGGCGGCAGAGCGGGCGGCAGCGGCGGAGGTGCTGGCGGCGACGTGGCGGTGCAACATCCTGCGCACGCGTCTCCGCAGAGCAAGGCAGCCTCCTCACAGTGCTGTCCGATGCGCCGCATCTCCAAGCAAGTCGCGCGGCCGCACATCGCGCGGCACGCCGGAGGGGCGGTCTGGGGCGGCGGGTGAGGGGCTGGCGGAGGAGGCCGCGCCGCCGCCGCCGCTGCTTTGTCCGCCAGCCTGCCAAGCTGTTGCTGCTGCTGCCGCTGCTGCTGCTGCGCGCTGACACGCGCTGGGCCGTTGCTGCCCAGGCGCTGGTACTCGTCCTCCGCGCCGGGCAGGGACAGCCCGGAGCCGGCGAAGCCGGCCTTTTGCAGCGCCGCACGGCCATTGCCGGTCAGCTCGTTGCCGAGTAGCCCCAGCGTCTCCAGGGCGGTGTTTCGCTCGAGCGCAGCGCCGAGGGCAATGGCGCCGCGGTCTCCGATCGCGTTGTTCTCGAGGTAGAGCGTCGCCAGCCCCGAGCCAGGCGAGGAGAGCGCGTCGGCGAGGGCGACGCAGCCCTGTCCGGCGGAGGCACGGTGTGAGTCGGCGGAGATTGGTGAGGCGTCGAGTGGCCGTGAGTGGCCGTGACCATTGGCGCACCTCGTCGCCGATTCCGTTGTTAATCAGGCTCAGCTCCAGGACGCTCGGAGCATCGGCCAGTGATGTAGCAAGCACCTTGACTCCGGAGTCACCAAGGCCAGCGTCGCTCAGGGAGAGCACGGTGCAATCCTTGAGCTTGAACGACCAGCCCGGTGCCCATGGCAGCCTCCTCCCGACGTCTTTGATTACGCACTCCTTGGAAAAAGCGCCACCGAGCAGCAGCGTCGTGAGGCCAAACGTGGAGAGGGAAGGCATCTCGGCTGCTTCTTTGGCCTTGTGGGCGGGCCTCTGACGTCGGACCAAGGCGGTGACGTTGGGCTTCGAAAAAACGAGATTGGAGAGGGCCTCGTGTAGCCCTCCTTTTGGTATATATAATAAAAAAACGATGCCGAGGCGGCGTTGCCGTGCTTCAGCATGTAGCGCGCGATGATCGCCTCCTTCGTGGGCCGCAAGCACAGGTACTTCGCGTTCTATTCCGCGCCGGTGAGCTGCGTGCGGGAAGTGCTTGCCCGGGACCACCACGTCCATGCCCATGGTCTGGAGCGTCGTGTTGGCTGGCGGCATGAGAGCTGAGGCTGTTCGTTTCGCGCGACGGTGCACAGCTTATTCGCGCGCACCGCTGGTGTGAACCAAAAAGAACGGGGGAAAACAGGCAGAATCTTGGAGAGCGAGAGAGAGAGAGAGAGCGAGAGAGAGAGAGGCTTTGAGAGAGATTCTTGAGGAGGCTTTGTACAATCTGTGACGCAGCCGCTACGCTGCCACCGCGCGCAAAATAGCGGCTTAGGCGCGCGAGCGCATGCCTGCTTTTCTCTATACTCTTTACCCACACCCGCCCGGGGGATCTACAGCAAGCAGCCGCCAGCCCATTGCGACACAGATCGTGTGCTGTTCGGCGAAACTGCGTTTAAGCTTTTTCTTTTTGGAGAGCGCATTCTTCGCGCGACTTTTTCTTTTTTGCTTGGCCAATCCAGTGTTTGCTCGACCCTCGACGATGGGCTGCTCGTCGAGCAAGCCGGACGCTACGGCCGCGCAGAAGCAGGCTGGAGCTCCGGAGCAGGCTGGGCCTCCGGATGCGGATACCAAGGACACCAGGGCGGCGGCTGCAAAGGATGCCTTCGCGACTGTCGACAAGTCAGGAGACGGTAAGGTCTCGATGCCCGAGGCGAAGAAGGCGCTCGAGGCAGCCTTCCCAAAGCTCGGTAAGTATGTCGCCAAGGCCTTCCTGGCGTCGGACGACGACGGCAGCTTCTATCTCGACCGGGAGGAGTACGAGGCGGTGCACGCATGCCTCGCCTCGTTTGCTGCGGTCGACACGAGCGCCGACGGCAAGGTGAGCGTGATGGAGGCGAAAGCGGCCCTCGCAGCCGAGTTCGCCGCGGTGACGATCCCGACCACCTTCTTCTTGACGTCCGATGCAGACGGCGATTTTTACCTCTCCTTGCCGGAGCTCGTCGGGTTGCGGCAATCGGTCGCCGCGTATGCGGACGCTGACAAGAGCGGCGACGGAAAGATCTCGATGCCGGAGGCCAAGAAGCTGCTCGTCGCGCGCTTTCCAAGGCGCGCAAACACGGTCGCCGAGTTCTTCCTCGCGGCAGACGAGACGAAAGACTTTTATCTCTCGCTGGTCGAATTCTCGTCGCTCATGCGCACCTTCGCGTCCTTTACGAAGGCCGACCGCAGTGGCGACGGCAAGGTCTCACTGCCTGAAGCCAAGAAGGCCGTCGCGAATGATTTCGGTGAGGGGCCGCTCAAGAAGCTCACTGCGCTTTTCATGGAGTACGACGGAAAGGGCGGCGACTTTTACTTGCAGCCCAAGGAGTACTATGCGCTGCATAAGGCGCTTGCGGCGTAGAGGTCTCAGAAATCGAGACATGGGGTGTGGAGGTGCTCACACGCTGGTTCGCTGTTGGGCCGACCCGAGCCACTTGGCTTGGCGTGCCTTCTGCGCTCTGATGACTGCTGGCCTGGGGCTGCCGAAAAACGGCTGCTACGTCTAAGAGCGGACCGCGCGTGCGCATATGTAGTGGGGTCCCGTAGAGGCCAGGTAGAGGCCTCCTGGCCGGGCTCGTAACGATTCTGAAACTCAAAATTCCTAAAGGCTCGAGCCTCGCCGCGGCGCCTCTCACGGTCCCGGCAGAGACCAGAGTCGGCCTAGACAGCCACACGCTCTCGAACGTCCCTATCATTGAAAGTAGCAGAGGGGTCGCGCCACACGCTCTCCGAATGGGATTTTCTGCCCTGCCCCTGTCACGGCCCCGCCTACCTCCCGGAGGCCCGCCCGGCCATGCAATCCGCCGCCGGACCGCCCGGCGGGTCCAACCCGAAGCGGGCGACCGGCCGTTCGCACCGCTCGGCCGGCGGGGCGAGCCCCGCGGCCCTCGATCGCTCGCCCCGGGACGTGGCCCGACCGGCCCACGCGCACGGCCTGGCCTCTACCGCCACTTTCGGCGGCGCAATTTGCGCCTTCATCGCTCTCTGGATCGTCCTGGCACCCATCGGACTCCTCCCGACGGTCGGCGGCGCCCACTCCGTGCACTTTGAGTCAGACTCGCTCTTCGGCAGGCACGCTCTTCGGCAAAAAGTCGCCGCCGGCTGTCCACGCCGAGCCGGCCTGCTGCCGGCTCGCACGGCAGCCTTTTCCTCTCGACCAGCCTCAACTTCCGTACAGTCAACATTTTGTCGCTGCGTGCTCGTTGCGAGCCGGGCGGCGGTCAAAGTTTGCCCAGACGAGCGCCAGGCGATAGTCCCGTCTCTGTTCGCCCTGTGCATGTCAGGCCAGGCTGCAGCGGGGCACGACCATCGTGCTGCCCTGTTGCAGCCTGACGTTTCCCACTGTGCACAGCCGCCAGAGCACCACCACCGCCCGGCATCGTGTCACGGCGAGCTCCTTCTGCACCCGTTCGCGAGGCTCTTGCGCTGGCACACTTCGGCCTTCCGCTGCTCGCGTTCGGCGAGCTCTTCTCCGCACTCCTGCCACGGTGCCGTCGCCACACACCTTCTGGCCGGCCTGAGCCACGCGGACTCGACCTCTCTCCCTCTCTGGTGCACGCCACGGGCCGCGACGGCTGCTGGCAGCCGGCCGGCGTGAGGAGGCAGCGTTGCCGGCACAGTCGAGCTGGAGTATCCGCTTCTTGATGCTTCTGCGGTCAAGCTTGACCTTATGTGACATGATATGCCACAATACTGCATGCTCTCACCCCTCAAAGTGTCGAATTTTTGTTTAGTACCGTGTGCCTTTCTTCAAACGAACAGGCTTCGAGGTTCGACAATCGCTAAAAGCTGCTTTTTGGGGGGGGGGGGGGGGGCACCGCTGCGACTCCATTGGGGATGCCTGAGGCCACCCCAAGCACTCCCCAAGCCTTACGTGGACGAATTCAACCCTACTTTTTGTTCGTCTACCCACATTAGCAACTTCGTGCTCATGTCAACGCCATGCCAGCGCTAGCCCATTCAACCCCGCCCCCATTGGGGGCGGGGCCCTTCAAGGGCCTAACTCTAGTAGTTATTATTGCAATCGAGGGACGTTTATCGACAGACGACAGCCCTTTCGCGATCAAAGCGACCATACCGACGCGGCGCAGCGTTTAACACCCTCTGATCGGTCGTTCAAAAGGACTGACGCTCCTACCTATACTCGTACCGTGCTACGGCTTTACCAGAGGTAGTAAGTCGCCCTCGCAGTCGCCCTCGCCGTCACACGCCCGCGCAACCCCCGCTGTAGAGGGAGCGGACCGTGAGTTGAGGAAATCGGAGGACGCGACCCACTTCGCCACAGACGGTCCCGCGCCTCGCCGCTATGACGGGCACACGCCCCGCACCGTCCGCTGTGTGCCCGTCTTTGTCCGGAGTGAATACTCCAACGCGCTCGTCGGTGACGGTGTCCTCCAACCTGCGCCGCGCTCGGCGAACCTCGACAGCGCTTTCGGTGGCATGCAGCTCTTTGCGCCTGAAGCCTGGAGAGCAGCTCCTCGGCTGCTCACACACTCTGCACAGTTGACACAGCCTATTGTGCGGCTGCCACAGCTGTGACAGCGATGGGCTCGCCCTCACTGGCCCTCAGTCACTTGTGCTGCGGCTTGTGTGAGCGACACTGCTCGGCGACTGCCGGCACACTGTGAGACCATGGGTGTGAGGTTAAACCACGCTACCAGCGCTTGGTCACATCGGCCCCGAGGTCAGATCCTTCTACTCTGTTAGTGACAAGACTTGTCTACTCGCTGGAGCCGAGCAGGAGGGCCCAGCGCACAACCCCTGGTCAACTCACGGTCCACACCCCGTACAGCGCTCAGCGGGCCGAGCACGAGCCGCGGGTCGGGAAAGGCGTCCTGCGCCCGCGTGACGTCGTCGAAGGACACAACGCCCGGAAGGTCGTGTGTCCTCGGGCGGCGCATCGAGAGCTGATAATGGACGTGCGGTGGCCAGCCTCCATTCTCGCGGCGCAGCGAGTCACCCATGGCACCGTGCGCCGGCGCGCAGCAGTGCGGAAACGGGGCTCCGGCTCCGTTAGTCTCCGTTAGCACCAACTTCCCGAATGATCACGGTTGATCAGAGGGCAGATTTGGAGAGATCTCGAGGAGTACATACAGATAGACCCTCCAACCATCAGAAACCTCCGACCTGATCGGTCGTACTGACCGCCGACAGATCACTCCAGACAGCAGACAGGCCGACGAGCGACGTCAGCACACGGCCGGCCGGGCGAGAGGCTTGACACGATCCGGCCCTGCGACCCTGACGCTGCTGCTCTAGCTATCAGACATGCGCTGCTGACTGCTGCCACAATGTGCGACAGTGCTGGCCCACTTGGCGGCTTTCCCGGTCAGTGGTGAGGCGCAGTTCAGAGCTGTCGATGGCGCGATGCCGCACTGACTGGTCCCACATTGGTGATAAGCTCGTGCTCGAGGGCGTGAACCACATGCCTCGCAGCCTCATCGGCCACCTCGTCACTCCCAAGGGCTCCAAGGAGCACCCTTGGTGTATGGCTATGGGAGCGACAGCACGCTCGATGAGTGGTTGCCATGGCTCCGAAGAGGCGCGATGTGAGGCGATCTCTCTCTCCCTGTATCCTTTGTTTGGTTGCGCTAGAAAATGCCCCCGCCGGATTGCTCTGAGTACCCCAACTGCACACAAACACAAGACTTGTGTTTGTGTCATGTCTCTTAGCCTCAAGCTCAACGTCGACTCCGGACAGGGTGCACCCGAACGCGCGAGGCCGAAGGCCGAGCCGAATGGGGCGGCTGGACGCACAAGTGGTCTCCACAGGATCGTCTATCTGCGCTACGGCTGCCAGCCTGCGGAGGAGGCTTCGGAGAAGTCGCTAAAGGTGCAGCACCTTGGCCATCGCGGTGGTGGCCTCGGCCGGGCAGTACGGGCACTTGAACCGGACGGTGCGGCTTCCGCGCGCGAGTTTCGTCAGCGAGCCGAGCGCGAGCACGTGGCCGCACGGCAGCAGCATGGGCGGGTTTCCCGGCGTGGTCGGCTCCTTGGAGACGGGGCACGCAAAGATGGAGTGGTGCATGCGGTGCGTCGGGGGCAGCTCGAGCTCAACCGGGAGCTCGCCGCCCGACCTGGCAGCCAAGCTAGCTGAGTGTCGGTTGTGAGTCTGTGAGTCTGTGTGTCCCTCCAGCGTGCCGTCCTCTCCTGTCCCGCGTCCCCACCCACACCGCGCATGTGCCCAGTCCGAGCCGCTGTCTGCTCTTCTCTTCGCCTCAGTATCTATCTATCTGCCCGACCGCCACACGTCGACAAACTTGGGGCCGAGGAGGGAGGAGAGCTTGACCAGCCGAGGCAGCACCGCCTCCCCCGCCGCCACGCAGGAGCTGAGGGCAGACCCGCGCGGCAGGCCTAGACAAAAGAAAAGGCCGTCGTCCGCCCGAGATTTCGCTTTCGGGCGTCTCCGGCGGCTCGTCGAGCAAACCGAGCGCCGCGAGCGCCTCGCACGTGAGCGCCTCACAAGCCTCCTCCGCCAGGCTGGGCTCGAGCAGCCACTCATACCGCGAGCCGCGCAGCGCCGGCGCGAATGCGAGCGAGCCCATCAGAGACCGCACAGCTGCGATCCCGTGCGCGCACTCGCCCGCCGCCGCACCGCGCAGCACCGTCGCCGACAGCTCGATCTTGCCCCGGGGGGAGCGGCAGCCCTCACCGAGCGCGAGCGGGAGCAACCGCTCCCGAGCGAGCGCGAGGGCGGCCAGCGTCTCGCCTTTCTCGAGATGTGACACAAAGGCGAGTCGCGCGAGCAGGAACGGCAGCCGCGACCCGAGAGCCTCGAGCCGCTCTCGGTGGTCCGCCGCCCATGCCAGCGCCGGCGAGAGATCGCGAGCGCGCAAGGCGGAGAGGGCGGCGTGCAGCGCCTCGAGCGGCGCACGCAGCTGCAGCGTCGGCGCCGCGATCGCGTCGGCGGCTTCCCGCTCGAGGGCGAGCGCCACGTCGAACCGTCCGGCGCAGAGCATGTGCACGTAGAGCACCTGGACCAGCGCGCCGTCGTCGAGCGGCACGTCCGGCAGCGTGGGCTGGGGCATGGCCTTGCACACGGCCTTGCCCAGCTTGCGCACCGACGACTCGAGCTCGCGCGCCGTCGAGCTCTCTCCTTGCGCCACGCCAACCGCCTCGAGCTTGCTGCCGAGTGAGGCGAGCGCCGCAGCGCGAGAGTCGTCGTCAGCACCCGAGTCTTCCCAGGAGTCGAGGATCTGGAGCATCTCGTCCAGGCGCTGGGGAACGGTGTCGACCCGCTGCTTCTTGGCAACCTTGTCGAGCAGGCTGCTGATCAGGTCGATCTCCGACATACGGCCGTAACGTGGCGGACGGCGAGAGCCTGCGAGCCCATGGGATGCAGTCGTGTGAGCGGAGAGGGCTGGCCGGGATGGTGGGGGGTGGAATGGTGGGGTTAGTAGCACACACAGCCCGGCGAAGTGGATGGCCGGCTGTCTCCGCGGGGGTATTTCTTCTTGAGCGGGTGTACGGAGCTAAGTGCCTCGCCACCCTCGCAGGAGTCGCTTAGGCGGCTCCCGTGGTGTACCTGTGTTAGTGCCAGTGCGCGCCAGTCCCGTGCCCAGTGTTGTGCGAGGGAGTTTTGTTGTAAAATTCTTCTTGAGCTTGCCTTCCCGGTGGTGAGCCGGTGTCTGTTCTTCACCTTTCTACCTACCTACCTACCTACCGGTGTGTGTGCCAGTCCGCGCCAGTCCGCGCCCTTGTCGTGCCAGTGTGCTGTGAGAGAGGCTTGTATTTTAAGAATTCTTCTTGAGAGCTGGTCCGCAGCGGCCCCCTGAGGTTTTTTGCTCAATCAAGACACAGAGCTCACACAAGATCACAGCGGGAGGAAAGCGGCGAGTCGCAATTCCTGGGGTCCTTGTGGCGGGCCACCCCTTCGGGAGAGCGAACATCTCGGGATACGTTTCACGGTGTCCTCCGCCGGGCGACATGAAGGCGTCAGTTGTTGTAGAGTACTTAAACGGTCCCTTGCCAAACCCGTCCCACCCTTTGCTGTGCTGCGCCAACACTCGGACGTGCCTCGGCACCACGACGGCGTGCCTCGGCACCACGACGGCCAGCGACCCAGCGAGGCTGGCGTGTGCGGTGAAAGGAGCGGCGACGGATTTACTCTAAACGCGACGCTTGGCGTGGCGGCGATGATGAAGGCGCTGAGGCAAGAAGCGCGCCTCGCTTAATATTAGAAGCACGGACATTGCGCTCGTTTTTCTCAATTTTCGCGCCCACCGATCGCCTCGACGCGCTCTCGAGCCCCCGCTCGAGCCCCCGCTCGAGCCCCCGCCCCAGACCTCAGCGGCTGCGCCGGGTCGTCGTCGGCGCGCGGGCCGCCCAAGGACGCCGCCCAAGCGCGCGTCCGCCTCGGCGCCCGTGCACCGCGAGAGAGCCATCCGCTGGCGGGCGCCGTGCGACACACCGCCCTCTCTGACGTAGCCGCCGCGTCTCGACTCGGTGATATGGCGCCCGCCGCGAGCCCGCCCGCCACGCTGCTCGCCGACATCGCCGCCGCCGACCTCGCCTCGCTGCACGCCCACCTCTCCGGCCGGCGGACGCGCGGCAGTCTCAACGCGCGGCACGACACCGAGAGGCAGGACACGCTGCTGACTTGGGCGGCTCGTCACGGGCAGGCCGAGGCGGTGCGGCTGCTGCTTGGGGCCGGCGCGAGCGTCGGGGCGACAACGGGCGGCGACGGTGGTAGCAGCGTCGGCGCGTCGGCGCTGCTCATCGCGTGCTCGACCGGCCACCTCGAGTGCGCCCGGCTGCTCCTCGAGGCGGGCGCGGCGAAGGACCAAGCCGCAGCGGACGGCGCCACGCCGCTGTTCGATGCGTGCGAGTATGGCCACGTCGAGTGCGCCCGGCTGCTCCTCGAGGCCAGCGCGGCGGTCAACCAAGCCAACGCCAGAGGCGCCACGCCGCTGTTCATTGCGTGCGAGAATGGCCAACTCGAGTGCGTGCGGCTGCTCCTCGGCGCCGGCGCTTCGCTCAACCAGGCCACGGATTACGGCACCACGCCGCTGTTCATGGCGTGCCAGGAGGGCCACCTCGAGATCGCCCGGCTGCTGCGCGAGGCTGGCGCGGCGATCGACCAAGCTGACGCTGAAGGCGTCACACCGCTGAGTGCTGCGAGCCAGGAGGGCGAGGTCGATTGCGTCCGGCTGATGATCGCCGCTGGCGCTGCGGTGAACCAAGCAGATTCTGACGGCGTGACACCGCTGCTCGTTGCGTGCCAGGAGGGCCACCACAGCTGCGCCCGGCTGCTCCTCGAGGCTGGCGCGGCGGTCAACCAAGCCGCGGAGGACGGCGTCACGCCGCTGAACATCGCGTGCCAGGAGGGCCACCTCGAGGTCGCCAAGCTCCTCTCCTCCTACGGCGCCTCCCGCGCCGCTACGCCCCTCGGCACGCCCGAGGAGAACGCAACCAGCGCAGGCCACGCCGACCTCGCCGCCTGGCTGGTCGCCAGCCGCGGCTGGACGCCGCTCGCGCACCTTGAGACCCTCACCGCCGCCCGCGCTCTCTCCCTGCTGCGCAGCGGCGCAAGCCTGCACGAGGGCGAGCCGACGCCGCTGCAGCGCGCCGCGGGCGGCGAGGGCGAGGTGGCGGCGCTGGTCCGGCGGGCGGCGGCGCCGTGGTCGCCGGCAAGCCACTCGCTCTTCCCCGCGGCGGCCCGCGCGCAGGCGGCGCTCCTCGTCCTCTCGCTCTACGAGATCCACGAGCGGCAGCATCTCGATTCGGCAGGAGCCACGAACGGCATCGCGGCGCGCGACTTTGTCACGTGCGTGCTGCGCTTCGCGATCACGCGCGAGACGGAGTAGGGGGTAGAACTCGAGGAGACGAGCGGGAACTTTTATTATTCTTGATACTCGGGACTCGCATCCCGCAAGCAAAGGCCTGCGGCATGAACCCCATGAACGGCGGAGCTCTATACACGATAGCCGTATATTCTCTAGGAAGCGTCCACAATCTGCGCGGGTTGGGAACCGGGTTGCTGATGCTGTGCTTCGCCTTCCTATCAATCAATCTGTAGTGCCAGTGCGCGCCAGTCCCGTGTGCGCCTGCGCCCAGTGTTCTGCGAGGGCCTGTGTGTCCTATAAATTCTGTTTTTTTGCGCGGGTTGGGCACCCCAGTCCCCACCCCCGCCCCCCCCCTCCCAGCCTGCAGCCATCTCGCTTCTGCATCTCTCCTACGTAGTACCTAGAAGTTCAGATCTTAGTGAAGCTCTCTTCTTCATGATTTATTGTGCGGACGCCGATGTGTACAAACCGCGCCCGCGTCCAGAGGAGCGCATCCCTAAAAGAGGCGCGCTTCCATCTGGTGGCCCTCAACCTCGCTGTACCTACCAACCGCCTCCTGGTCGTCGTCCTCCTCGCTCACCCGCTGCGGCCGCCCCCTGGGGCTGGCCAGCTCAGGCACGCGCACGGCCCGGCTCACCAGCGCTAGAGCCAAAACTAGGGCGCCCATGCCCGCAGTCACCGCAAGAGTTGCGTCCCTCTGCTGCTGCGTGGGTCCGCGGAAGCCGCGAATGGGACGCATCTCGCCCAGAGACACAAACGGCGGCTGGAGCGGTCTTGGCGGCGGTGGCGTGAGGGGCTGCGGCGGCGGCGGCGGTGGGGGTGGCGGCGGCGGCTCCTCGGGGCTAGGCGGCGGCGACGTGGGCGGAGGCGGCAGAGGCGGAGGCGGCAGAGGCGGAGGCGGCAGAGGCGGAGGCAGGCTGGGTCGAGGGGGAGGCGGTGGCGGTGGCTGAAGTGGAGGCGGCAGCGAAGGCGGCAGCGGAGGCGGCAAGAATGGCAGCAGCGGAGGCGAAAGAGGTGGTGGCAGGGGTGGGGGCAGCAACGGCGGTAGCAACGGACTCCGCAGCGGCGGCAACCGCGGCGGCGGCGGCAACCGCGGCGCTGGCGGCGGCAGCGGCGGCAGCGGCGCTGGCGGAGGTAGCGGCGGCGGTGGAGGTGCCGGCGGCAGAACCGGCGGTGGCGTGATGGCGGCAAGTGCTGCTGCCGCAAGCTGTGCCCTTGCCTTTGCCGCCGCTGCCTTCTCCTTTGCATCGCGCGCCACCGAGTCCGCAGCGATTGCGGAGACCTTGGACGCTGCGGCGGCGGCATGGGCGTCTGCGGCCTCGGATGCGGCTTGCGCAAGCCTGGAGGCCTCCCTCGCCGCCTCCGCCTCCGTCTCTGCCGCCTCTGCCTCCGCTTCCGCCTCTGCTAGGGCGAGCCGCGCCGACTCGAGGCACCACTCGTCCGACTGGCCCTCGCACGAGGAGGGGCTCGTCAGGTTGTGAGCGGCGGCGCCCGCATCGACGTCTGGTGCCGGCCGAGGCGGAGGCGTCGGCTCTTGCAACGGAGGAGGAGGCTGTGTTGTCGGCGAGCGCGCTTGTGGCGGCAGCAACGGCAATGCGCGCTCAGCGGTGTGCGGTGACGGCAGCAAAGGCGGCGGCGGTGGCGGCGGCGGCGATGGCGGCGGAGGCGGCGGCGGAGGTGTAGGCGGCGGCGGCGGTGGCGGCGGCGTAGGCGGCGGCGGCGGTGGCGGCGGCGGGTTCGGCGTAGGGTGGCACTGGCATGACTGCCAGTCGAGGTACACGTTGACGCCGAGCCGCATGACCTGCTCCTTTTGCAGCTTGGTCGAGGCGTAGCACGTGTTGGTGAGCAGCTGCTCGTCCTCAAAGAGGGGCCAGATCTCTGCAAGGGGGGAGGCACGCAGCTTGGGAAGTCATCCGGATGCCGGCCCAGGCTGCGGCAGCCGCGGGTGCCCATGCACGTGACGCCTCTCTCTACATCTGGTGCAACTGGGGGAGGGTGCGCGCCTGGCCGGCCGCAGAAGAAGATCTTTTGCGGCGGCGGCGGCGGCCTCGCCGGCTGCGGCGGCGGCGCCGGCGGCGTCGGGAGGCATGCGCAGCTCTCCTCGGAGTCAAAGACGGTGACGCCCGACTCTTCGAGCTCCTTTCGCCCAGAGGAGGAAGTGGTGTAGCAATGCGTGGTGATGAGGGGGTTGGAGTCGGAGATGTGAAAGTACGAGTTGGCCGCCGCGCTGCCGCAGTACCAGAGACGCATACGCCTAGCGAGCCGGCCCGGCCGGCATATGGGCGGCCAGCCAAGTCTTTTGCCGCGACCCGCCGTCCTGAGCGCGCTTTTATTTACGGCGGCCGCTCGGATTATCTCATAGCGGGGGGGGGGGGGGGAGTTCTAAATTTCGCTTTCTTCTTATCTGAAACGCGCGCGGGGGCCGCCCGCCGCGGACTATAGCAAGGGAGATTCGAGAGCTGCGCTCGAGCGAGCAGGTCCATGTGCAAGCGCAAACGTGACGACACGGCCACCGAGGCCGAAGCCTTTGTCGCCAACGCCGCACCTGCCGTGGCCTCAGAAGCAAGTGCGCTGACCAGGGGGCTGACGCTCAAGGGCGCGCTGTACAATCACTGCATCCTCAACGGTCACAAGCGGGTGGAGAACCGGCCCTTTCGTATCAAGCCAGGTTGGTACGCGCTACACACTGGCGTCGGAAAGTTGGCGGCCGAGGACGCGAAGCGGATTCACGCGCGGATGGGCGGCGCCTGCCTCCCTGATGAGTGCTCGCTTCCGCACGGCGTCATCGTTGGCGCTGTCCACTTCTGTGGCGGCCTCAAGCACTCCGACTGCGCCGAGGATCATTGGGCCACCGGCCCGATATGCAATGTGATTGACGCCTATTGCGCGCTGAGGCGGCCTGTTCCCCACCGGGGAGCGCTCAGTCTGTGGAAGATCAAGCCTGACGCCCTCGCCGAAGTGCAGGCGCAGCTGGCGAGCGCACCCGTCCACCTCAATGCCGACGTGTCCTCTTTCTTCTTGCGTGGCCGCCCGTCGATAGCCTGACCCCCGCGCGGGTCCGACGGGATGTGGACGCCACGCAACACGCTGGCAGCACGGTTGCACACGAGTCAACTCGCGTTCCGGGACGCGCGCAAAGGCTCGATTGAGTCTTTTTGCGTGCTGTCTCGCCCTTCTCAACTGTCTGTGCGTGTGCGTCTTGGGCTCGGGGTTGTGCTTGTGTGGCGCATTTTGTTGAGAGAGCGGGGAAAATCGGAAAGCGCGGGGTGAAATATCTCTACTAGTACGGCTAGAGTACATCAGCATCAGATAGGCTCCTCTCTCTACGCAGGCTTTAGCTGAAAAGGCACATTCGACAAAGGAGACAACTATACAACACGTGACTGCTAATCAACTGCGCTAAAATAAAGAACGCGAGGGCTCACTCTACAGGGCTCACTCGGAAGAGAGAACTTCGCCAATGTTGCGCGTCTCTGTTCCTCATTCCCGCGGGCCCTGACCCAGGCAGCTGCCCACCCCCACCCCCACCCCTCGCGCGCGCAACACGTCTGGATGCAGCGAGATTGCCCGATATTACTCGAGATTGCCCGAGGGGTGCAGCACGTCTGGGTGCAGCGAGCAGCCGATGTGCTCTCCCGCCGCCAGGCCGCAATCGAACCCCGCCTGGTTGCAGTCACACGCCACGCTGGTGAGACAACCGTGTCACGCCCCCCCCCCCCCCCTCCTCCTTTGGCAAGCAGGGCGGCCGCCCGCCTCCTTCCACGCCCGGTGCATCGTGCCGGGCCGCTCGTCAAAGAGTATGTCGTCGCCGCACCTGACACCGACATGGGCGGCCAGTCACTTCTCGTCGGGAGCCAGACCAGACGTCAGGCAAGACTCCGTCGCCGCACCAGCGCGTCGCGTAGCCTCGCCTGCGGCGCGTCGAGCTGGCCGGGTTGCCTGCGGGCTCCGAGCAGGCAAGGTCAGGCACACTTCTCCACACGCACGCGCGGTGGTAGGGCAGGGGTCCAGCGCAGCCCTCGCATCTCCGCATCCTGACAGGCAGGAGCCCCACGGCACATCCCCTGCGCCATCGCGGCGTGGGAGAATCTCGAGTAATCTCGGCTGCCGCTCGGCTGCCTCTCGGCTGCCTCTCGGCTGTGTCTCGGCTCGCCTGGGGCGCCGTGCATCATCGCAGAGTAGAAGAGGAGCACGTCGCCCGGCGCCTTCAGGGAGGATCGGACAAGCTCCGGGAGAGGGTTTGGAGAGGGTTTGGAGGAGGGGTGGAGGGGGGTTGGAGGAGGGTTGGAGGAGGTTCGCAGGGTTCGGAGGGTTCGAACGGGGCGGTGGAGCCACTCTGGGCGAGTCTCGGCGTATCTCGGCGGCCATTCTCGGCACCATGTCCCAGCCGAGCAGCTCGTACTGGCCGCTGGCGACGCCCGCGTCGATGTCCGGCACGGGCGGGTAGCCTTCTGCGCCGTGGTACACGTTGCGCGAGTCCACCTGCAAGGGGGGCGGAGGTATCTGCATTATCTCGGCAGTATCTCAAGTTATCTCGGCAGTATCTCGGCTACATCTCGGCCAGGAAGTGTCTCAGAAGTGTCTCGGAAGTGTCTCAGAAGTGTCTCAGAAGTGTCTCGGAAGTGTCTCGGAAGTGTCTCAGAAGTGTCTCAGAAGTGTCTCGGAAGTGTCTCAGAAGTGTCTCAGAAGTGTCTCGGAAGTGTCTCAGAAGTGTCTCGGAAGTGTCTCAGAAGTGTCTCGGAAGTGTCTCGGAGGTGTCTCGGAAGTGTCTCAGAAGTGTCCCGGAAGCGTCTCTGACCTCGTCCGAGCCGGAGAAGTTTGTGATGCGGTGCGTCAGGCCCCAGGTGTGCGAGCCTGTCATGCACCACAGCACCGATGTCATAAAGTGAGATCACTAGCAGCAAGAATGGAGCCGAGCCCCCAAGAGGGCGAGCCTGCAATGCACACTGCTCATCAGCGATACCCTACCCAAGACTGCACCATGCCGCCGCCCCGAGTGCGCGGCCTTTGACATACGCGAGGCCTACAGACAGGCTCCGACCCGAGACAGCTCCAAGAGCGTCCTGCACGCTGCCTGTCATCGTAGACTGAGCTCTGAGCGCACACGAGCGCATCAGAGCTCATGAGAGATTACGTCGTGTCTGTCCGTGTGTCGGCACTCACCTCTCTCCCTCGGCACCTGCTCACAGCCGGAGGCGCGTGAACAGACGCTCTTCACAGCCGCGCGCCCCTCTCTCTCCCTCGGCACTTCGTCGAGGGCGAGCCAGACCGAGCAGACCTGCAGATATGGGGAGATCTGGGGAGATCTGGGGAGATCTGGGGAGATCTGGGGAGATATGGGGAGATCTGGGGAGATCTGGGGAGATCTGGGGAGATGTGGGCGAGCCAGACCGAGCAGACCTGCAGTGTGTGACATACACGTAGGTGCTAAGTTTCTCCGAGACCTCGCGAGCGGGCAGTTATTCACAGCTGGGCAGTGTGGCGAGGGCAGGGGTGGGTGGTGTGTGACACATGCCGTCACATCGCATCACACGACAGCGGCAGGAGCAACCACATGCCATGTGGAGTGTGCATGTGCTATCCTGTCACACCATATAGCCAGCATAGCACGGCCAGACCGACCGGAGCCTGCCGCCCCCGAAGCAAGTGACTGTGGCTCTGCTGCAGCGGTCACCCCCCGCTAAGCTGGCGACGGGCGCCTGCTTCCCATCCGTATGCTGGTGCTCTCCTCCGTATCATGAGATCAGAATGAAGGGACTACTAAGACCATTTGGCAGGCGCCTGCTTCCCGCGCAAATGCCAGTAGGACGTGTCGTTGTGCCACGGGGTCGGCGCCTGCAAAAGGGTTCCAGGACAGGTCTAGGACGGGTCTTGTGCCGGTAGGGCGTGTCGTTGTGCCGTGGGGTCGGCGCCGCGGTGCCCGGCTCCTTGACGAAGAGCTGGTCGTAGAGGATGTGCGCCTGTCCACAGCGACATGGCTGTGAAGAGACGCCGTCCACACCCACTTTGGCCTGCACCTCGAGCGCATTTTGCCTGTCCACAGGGCTGCAGCAGCCGTGACGAGACGGCCTCTCGCCAACGACTGGCCGAGCTTCTGACTGCGCCGTCCGCGACCCCATTGCACGTGCGGCGATGGCGCCCGCGCCTGAGGTGAGTGGCAACGACGCGTCGGTGGGCGGAGGTGGCGACGACGGCGGCGAGGGTGGCAGCAGCAGCAGCAGTGGGAGCGGGAGGTGGGGCGGGGCGCTGCAGAGCAAGGCGGAGGCAGGGCGGCGGCGGTTGTCACAGTGAGAGCGCGGTTGCGACGGGGGCGGCGAGAGGAGGCGCGGGAGAGGGGGGGGGGGGGGGGCCAAAAAAAAAGGGGCCAGCGGGAAGGGTGAGAGCAGAGACGCCGGCGAGCCACACTGCTCTCACCCGCGCGGAGCACAAAGTCTGCAAAGATGGCGTGGCGGTGCCAGAGGAACTGGTCGTCGTGGAAGCGTCCTCCGGTGCCGGCGGCGGCGGCGTGCTCGTCGCAGAGCGGGCCTGTGGGGGAAGGCCGTCCCGAGACGGCTGAGGCGAGGCTCCGACAAGGGACTCGGTGAGCCCACCACAGAGCGGCGGGCCTGGGTCGGAGAGGTTCGCCTCGGCGCCTTCGCGCATCGCCTCCACCCACGGCGCGAACGTGCCGCGCAGGACGATGGCGCCGTCCTAATAGCAGCGGCGAGGACATTGGAGCCGGTCACGCCAGGTGACAGTGCGGCTGTGCCACTCTCCTGATTGAAGCGCGAAATGTCGGCATCGGTGAGCACGGAGGCGTCGACGCTGGGCAGCGAGGCGGACGCGGCGCTGGACGTCGGCAGCGTGCCGGGTGTTGGTAAAGGAGCGGTCGAGAACAGGCGCCGCCCGGCGCTAGGACGGCGTCGCAGGCACTGCATTGGACAAGTGTCGTGTTGGGCCGGCGATGGGTAGGTTCAACATCTTTGGGGGCAGGTGGCTACGCGGGTAGTGGCCGTGACGCGCGATACACGACATGTACATGTGGTTCCACCACCCCTCAAGGCCTAGCCTCTGATCGCCACCGTTCCCAGGCTGCCTAATGGGATGGAAAGGAAGGAAGGCTGGGCGAGCGTATAGAAGCGTGCTCGACCTCGTCGTGGCAACCTGCAAGGCAGCGCTGGCAGGCGCGATGAGCGTCGTGCCACCTGACCCGAGACGAGTCGCAGGCGTCGTACCGAGCGTGTCGAGACCGTGTACTGATGTGATCTGCACGGGCGAGTCACGTCGGCGTCAACAACTGCACTCCAAGTGCTCCAAGTGCGAGTCCTCGTCGACAACAAACCCTGCAGTGGTCGGCATCAGCGCGCCGGGCGCCGCAGCAGCTCGACGAGGTCCAGGAGGACCTCCTTGTGCCGCGTCTGGTGGCCCGCCGCGCCGTCGTTCTGCGCCACGTCGCCAAGGGCGTCAAAGGGCAGATCGTGCTGGCTGTAGATGCCGTCCGCCATAACGATCGTCATCATCGACAGGTGCAATCCGAAGCGGCGCTGCAGCGCGAAGCGCAGCACGTACGAGGGCAGACGGAAGTGCGCGCGGGTCGGGATGGGTTTTGATTTTTTTCCAAGGTTCGTCACACTCCCCCCCGAGACCGCCGCGTGCCGATGGCCTCCCACCGCATCGGCGCCCGCGTCTCGAGCCTCTCGCCAGCGCAGCTGTGCGCCATCATCGAGGCGCAGGCGGGCGCGAGCGACGCCGCGCTGCGCGTGGCGGAGGAGCACGCCGCTCGGCTCGTGGAGCAGCCCGAGTGGGTGCTCTCCGAGGTCCTCCTCTCGCCGGACCTCGCCCCGCACGTCCTCGCCCAGCTGCCGATCAAGGCGCACGCCGCCAAGGGGACGTGCCGCGCGTGGCGCCGCGGCTGGAAGGAGACGCTGAAGAAGCGCGAGAGGCCGCGCCTGCTCGTGATCGGCGGCGAAGACCGCGAGGGCGAGTTCCTCAGCTCGATGGAGCGGTACGACCCGTCCACAAACGAATGGGAGGAGGAGGCTGTGGCGCCGATGCCAACGACACGCAGGTGTGTCCGCACGGCGGTGCTCGATGGCAAGCTCTACGCGGCGGGCGGCCGTGGGGCTGACGGCGCAACTTCCAACCTGGTGGAGCGGTACGACCTTGCTGCGAACGCGTGGGATGCGGTGGCGCCGATGGTGACAGCACGGGATGCTCACGGCATGGCGGTGCTCAACGGCATGCTGTACGGCGTTGGCGGGTATGCTATTGACGACGTCCTCAGCTCGACGGAGCGGTACGACCCTCTGTTGGATCGATGGGAGGCAGTGGCGCCGTTGAGGACGGCTCGGGGTTGTCCGGCTGTGGCGGTGATCGACGGCAAGCTGTATGCGGTGGGCGGACAGGCTGACGACTTTGCCCTCCTGCGCTCGGTGGAACGGTACGACCCCGCTACGGACGCGTGGGTCGCAGTGTCGCCGATGAGGACGGCGCGATGAGTCCGGCCGTGGCGGTGCTCGACGGCAAGCTGTACGCCGTGGGCGGGCTTGGCGATGGAGGCGCTCTCCTCTCGGTCGAGCGGTACGATCCGGCGGCAGACGAGTGGAGGGTGGTGGCTTCGATGGCCACGGCTACGCAATCTCCGGGCGCGGCGGTGTTGGATGGCAAGCTGTATGCTGCGGGTGGGCGCAACGACGGTGGCGGTGCCGTCCTCAGCTCGGTCGCGCGGTACGACCCGGCGAGGAATTCGTGGGAGGGGGTGGCGCCGATGGCGACGCCAGTGGCCTGTCCTCTCGCTGTCTTTATCCCGTCAGTCTAGGCGTGGGTAGCGGGTCAGCTTGAGCAGGTGAGCGCCGAGGGGAGGGCGGGCTGCGAGATGCTGTGTGTGCCCTCCCCCCACGGCGGCTGCTGTGTGCCGCCGTGCCGAGCGCGAGGGTCGCCGACGGCGCGTGCGCCTCGCTCGACACCATCCTCACTGCATGACACATCTCTCGTGGACCTTTCTTCTCCGTGGACCTAAATTTAGTTCACTAACCTCTTCGTCCTTCCACCTTCGCGCATCACGGTTCGAATTCGAGCACGCCCCTCGTCCACGGCCGGCGGCCGGCGCGGCGAGGTTTGGGCTGAACCCGGGGTTTGGGCTGCGTTCGTTCGCGTTCGAGTCACGAAAATTCGCGTGAACTCGAAGGGCTGCGGCCCGTCCCCTCAGCCCTCTCATACGACATACCCTCACTCCCCTCCCTCTCTCTACACTCGTGTGAGTGAGGGAGACATACTCTACACTCGTCCCTGGCGATACCCAAGAGGAACTGGCAGAGAATACAAGAAGAATTTAGACAAAACAACTCTCTCTCACAGCAGACAGGCTCGACACAGGTAGGTAGGTAGGTAGGAAGGTGAAGAACAGTCAGGCTCGGACTGGACACCAACGCGGTATGGGTGGACGCAAGACAGATGATGACGACACGCACGAGCGACACACAGACACAAACAAGCTCACAAGACACACAGCCAGCTGGCTGCCACACACCCTGAGTTGGCGTACACATAACTCAGGGCCACATTCCTCCTGTCGCCCCCCCCAGCACTCCAAGGTGCCAAGAGAAACAAACAAGGGCACAACATCACAACAGACGACAGGAGGTAATATGCGAGGCTAGAGCAGGCTTGCTCCACCTCTAGCAATCTCGCCGCCCGGCGAGGCACGGACGAGACCGTGTGTGGGGTTAGTGAGGTGTCTATGGTCGCCCTCCTCACGGGCTGGCCGCCAGCGGCCAGCCCTATCTCGCACTCACTGGCGGTGACAATTCAATGTGTGAGTGTTAGCGAACAGAGGCACGTGTGCTAATTCTAGGCCGCACGTCGTGGCACTATGACGAAGGTAGACGTGCGGCTGCAGCGCGCCCGCCGCAGGCTCGGCGGTGCGCGCGTGTTAGCGATAAAGTTGCGGGTAGAGCCGTTCCCGACTTGTCGAATGCGAGGCCTCTGCGACGAGTGCCAGTCGCGCTGCGGAGCCACGCTCTTCGAGCCGCCTCCCGTCGGCACTACCCTCGAGTGCGTGTCGCTTTGGTTGGCGACACCCACTCGTCGAGGGCAGTCCGGCCGACGGGAGCCTGTCGCGCGCCGGCGACGAATGCGGCGGGGTGGGTGTGGGTACAAAGCGCCGCTTCGACGAAGCGAGGTTGGCAGGCGCCCCTCACGAGTCCGTTCAGACATGCCACACGCCCCTCGCAAGCGAGGTTAGTAGGCGCCCCTGGCGAGACCCGCAAGAGATGCCACACCACCCTCGTACCTATACTCCACCAATGAGAAGGTGAAAAGATCTTATCAGCTAGGCGGGCAGGGCAGGCGGGCAGGCGGGCGGGGTCAGCGAAGAGGGCCCTCGGGTTACGCCTCGCCCGGCACCCTCCGAGGGGGGAAGGGGAAAGAGGGGGGCCCTCGGGGTGCGCCTCTCCCGGCCCCCTCCGAGGGGGGAAGGGAACTATTCTCTGTCCATCTACAGCGTGGGTGGTGGTACACTGCGTCGAGACAGCTCCGCCTCGCGCCCTGCCTTCCTGGAATACTTGCCAATACCCGACGCGGAATACAATACGTAATTAATTAATGAATTAACTAATTAGGTTAGGACGTGGAATACAGCACTCGAGCGACACAGGTGCGAACTGGCGCGTATACAAGAAGAAATCGACGACTGACGGCGAACAACTCGCTACGCTCTCGCTCTCGAGCTGCGGTGGCCCCGCCGGCGCCGGGATGGACGCGGGCGAGGCCGGCGAGAGCGCGATGGCGGCCGCCGCCGCCACTGGACAAGCGGAGGAGGTCGACGCGCCTCCTGCGTGCGGCGTGAAGAGGGACCGCCCTTCAGCGGTCCGCCCCTCTGATGCGGACAGCCCGGGAAGGTCCTCCCCGCTGATGCGCGCCTCCGAGGAGGGCGACGCGCGCACGGCCACCAAGCTCCTTGAGAGCGGCGCGGTGGCCGATGCCAAGGATGCCGATGGCTACACTGCGCTGACACGTGCCGCCGAGAAGGGCGACTTGGCGGAGGTGGAGGCGCTGCTGGACAGCGGGGTGGACCACCGAGCCGCTCTCAAGGCACTGCTGCGCGCCGTGAAGCACGGCTCCACGCCAGTGGTCGCCAAATCACGGCTCCACGCCAGTGGTCGCCAAACTGCTCAATCACGGCGCGGACATCAACGCTGAGGACCTCTATGGCCACAGCGCGGGAGAGTACGGCCAGAGCGCGCTCTGCCTCGTTGTGGAGAGAGGTGTCCTCGACGAGCTCGCGCGGAGCCTTCTCGACCATCTGCGGAGGCCCGGCGACGGGGCGCGACTGGCCGCGCCCGGCCCGCTCCCGTCCCACCCCTCCTCACCTTTCCTCACGCCGTTCCCTGCCCGCCAGCCCGAGGCGCAAGCCAAGGAGCCCGAGGCGCGGGTCAGGGAGCCCGAGGCGGGCGGCGAGGAGATGGAGGTGGACGAGATCGAGCCGACTGGGGCGGAGACGGCCGCTGCGGTGGCGGCGAGCGGGGGGATTGGCAGCTCGGCCGCGGCGCCCGACTCCGGCACGGGCGCCGCCTCGAGCACGGGTGCGGGGACGTCAGCCGACGGGGCGGCGCCCCTGGCGGGTCCGCCGCCGCTGCGGCGGCCGCCATGGGTACGGGAGAGAGTGAACGGGTTCTCCTGTTTCTTCTCGTTCAGCGCGCCGGACGATGTTGAGGACGGCATGTTCGACGACTACTACGAGCCCGTGGACTCCGGCAGAGGCCGCCCTCCGCTCGTGCACGCCTTGACCGAGTCCATCGGCCCCTGCGCTCACTACGACGAGGACGATCTGATGTGCGAGTTGTACACCGTCGACAGCGTGGTGTGGGTGACGTCGATCGTGCTGTCGGAGAGCCCCGAGGGCGCCACCCACATCGCGACCGTCGCGAAGCAGCCGAGCTTCCTCGCGAGCGTGGCGGAGAAGCTCGAGGTGGACTCTGCTGGGCTCCACTTTGTCGAGCAGCCCTCCACGGCGGGCCCGGTGCGCGTCGACGCGCCATCGCCGCCGCCTCTGCAGCGGCTGCTCCGCGGTCAGAGGAGCGAGGTCGAGATCCTGGACGCGACCTTCGACTACTTCGACCTCGGCGATATCTACCTGCCAGAGCAGCGAGCGGCGTGGAGGGCTTCCGGGGAGATGAGGCTGGCGGCGGCAGAAAGGCTGGCGATATGCGAGCAGATGAGAACCTAGGAGAGGTCGGGCACGGTGTCCGAGGAGAAGTTCCGCGCGTTCGCCGAGAGAGAGAGGGCGCGGGGCTCCGGCGGGAGGCGACCGCGTGCGTGCAAGATCCGCCTCCAGGACGGCAGCGAGTTTTCCCCGACCGGCCGGGTGACGCAGCTCCGGCCGGTCGGCGCGGGGAAGGGCGCGCCCTACCAGGTGCTGCTCGACGACGGCCGGTACGTGTACCCGCGGGAGGACGACGAAGAGTACATCAAGAATGCTGCCGGGCCGCCGGGCCGCCGACCGGTGCTTCACGGCGGGGTATCAAGCAGGCCTCGGCGGGCGGGCGGTGCTCACGGCGGAGGAGGTGGAGGCGCTGCTCTCGGACGATGGCCTGGACCTGTTGCGCGACGTCTACGAGACGTTCTACGACTCGGAGACCCGGAGCCGGAACCATCTACTCGGAGGAGTCGCCACCTTGCTCCGAGGTTTTGTGGTTCGCTGCCGGGCGGCGGTCCTCCTCCCCGGGGAGCCGCTGTACGCGCCAGCGCGCATCGTCGGTGTCCACAAGTCGGAGGCGCGGCTCGATCTGAAGATGGACATCGACGGCAAGGCGCGGCTCGAGCGTGACGTGCCGCTGTGGCGCCTCTCCAACGCGATCGCGAGCCTCCTGCCGGGCACATCCATTACCCGAGAGTGCGTGCCGTCGCGTTGGCGCTCTCCTGCGGCGAGGGTGCGGAGCGGCTCGATCGGCTCGTCGTGGGGAGGGCGAGCGCGCGATTGGGCGTCGCCGCCATCGACAAGTGGCGCGAGCTGCTGATGCGCGCGGGCGTGTGCGAGGACGAGCCCGCCGCGGGCGACACCAGGCTGGTGACTGTCGGTGAGTACTCGCACCACGCCATCCTCTACTCGCGCTTGCACGGCGCGCACGAGGCGCTGGTGGACTTTCTGATCGAGATCACCGACCCCGGGATGGATACTGCGGAGGTGTGGCAGCGCGGGCACGTGGAGCGGTACGACGAGTGGCCCCTCGACCGGCGCGACGTGGCGGTGGAGTGGCTGGAGTGGCTGCTCCGGCCGGACGAGCGGCGGGCTGGCTTCCCCGCTCTGTGCGGGTTTATCGCGCACGAGAATGGCCTGTCGCGCGAGGAGCACATTGCCCGCGACGACGCCGGTCGCTACAGCCTGGTGAGGGCGGCGGACGACGCGCTGAGCGGGTATGTGCACGAGCTCGTGTCAGACGGTAAGATGGAGAGTTTGCCGGGCATGGACTCCCCCGGCTGCGCCATCTGCCCGCGCGCGGTGCGGAGCTGCGCAAGGTGGGCGCAGCTGCAGCCGTGCCGAAACTGGTTGGTGGACCTAGATACGCAACGCCCTCGCCGCCTCCCTCGCCGCCTCCCTCGCCGCCTCCCTCGCCTCCTCCTCCCTCGCTTCCTCCTCCCTCGCCGCCTCCCTCGCCGCCTCCCACGCCCCCTCCAGTCTCGGCGTCGCACTCCTCGACGACCTCAAGCTGCGCGCGCGCTCTGCAGTGCGCGCCGCGTCAGCGCCCGACGCCCGCGCCGGCCTCGCGGGCCATGGCGGCGGGGGAGGCCTCGAGTCGGTGCGTTGGGAGGTGTGCCCCTCGCTGGAGGGGGCGGGGTGGCAGGCGGCCGCCGCGTCCTCGCTCGCCCGAGCGCGGGGGGAGGGGGGGGGGGCTCGGCGGGCGGGGATCGCCCCGCGGCCGCGCGAGGGCGGGCGGGCGGGCCGAGGGGGAGGAGGGGAGGGAGGAGGGGAGGGAGGAGGGGAGGGAGGGGAGGGGAGGACCCAGGACGAGGGGCGGCATGTGCTCCACCGTTCTCGGACGTGAGGAGGGTATACGTCTCAATAGATTATTTACAAAAAATAGCAAAAACAATTTCGTGGCATCCATACAGTAGACAGCCGCCGCTGTCGTGTCGGCAGGAACAGCGGAGTGGAGAGCGTGTGGGGAGTGCGCGCCACCGCCGGGGTGCGCGTGCGGTCTCGTCTCGACACTGTCGTTACGACACACTCTCGCTCCCTTCCCCCACGGTGGCGTCGGTGCAACGATCGTACCCACGTTGCCACGTATACACGCCAATGCTCTCATCTCCGCCCTCGGCCCTCGCGCAGGCAGTAGCAGCGTGGCCATAATGCGCCAACCAACTCTCCGGGCCCCGGGCGCGCCGCGAGCTCACCTCGTGGGTCCTCGGGCCCCACACCGGCCGGCCTCACCTGAGACGCAAGACCGACTAGAAGGCCCACCTCCGCCTCTTTCTTTCTTACCCAAGTACAGGTTAAGGTAAAATGAACCGCTTCTCCACCCGCACACGAGGTGTCGGGTGTATAACGTATAACTATAAGTGGACTGTGGAGTCAAGAGGATGCGGTGATCTCCTCTGCTAGCTACCCCTGCACCCATGCCTCGACCTTCTTGGGCAGCAGCTGGTCCGACAGGTACTCTCCGTGGCCTAGGCAGCTGTCCTCGCCCTTGCCCCAGGTCAAGAAGGCGCCGTCGGCCGAGATGGCGAGGCTATGGTACGCTCCAGCAGACACAACGACCACGCGCTGGCCTGCTCCCCTCCCCCCCTCGGGAGGGCCGAACTGAGGCGCCCGAGGGGACCCCGCAATTCCCTTCCCCCCTCGGAGGGCCGGACTGAGGCGTCGAGGGCCCCACTCTTTCCTTCGCATAGCGGCCACTCTTCGGATCGCTGGTCGAGCGACCCGGGGGATGCCCCGCGCGCCTGACCCAGCACCCAGGCGCGGAAACGAATCTGCGAGGAGGCGTGGCCGCTCATGCGGCCCGATGGGGAGGAGGGGAAGACGTAGGGCGTGCTTGCGCGCCTTTCCGAGGCCCCTCCAACCCACCCGCGCTAGGTCTCGGGTTTGACGCATGGGGTCACTCCCGCGAAACTCGGGAACTAGCCGGGGCAGTCGGAGAAGTGGCAACTCCGTGCACTGACGGTCGGCCGTCAGAAAACACGCCTCCGTGGCTCGGGTTACACCAATCCTCGCTACCCAACGCGGCCAAAGGATATCCACCTCGAGAACCTCGAGAGGACCGCTCGCAAGAGACCATTGGGTTTGTACTATTAACAACGAAGGCGCTCTCAAAAAAATCGCGCCGCGCCGCCGCGAATGCTCGCCTCCGCCCGCTACGAGCTGCGGCTCGCCGTTCTTCCGCCCGATGCCCTGATCGCGATCACCGCCGGCGCGATGCGGGACAGCCCCGCTGCAAACAGGAGGGCCGAGGCGCTCCTCGCCCACCACAGCCCTCCGCCCGCCGTCGCGACCGACGTCCTCGCAGACCCGGACCTTGCGCCGTGCGTGCTCGAGAGGACGGGCCTGCGCCACGCGGCCGTGTGCAAGCGGTGGTCCCTGATCTGCGCGCCGCGCGGTGCCTTCGCGCGGCTGGTGGAGACCGCTGGCGATGCCTCCACCAAGCGGCTGTCGGGAGAGGAGGCCGGCAGCAGGCGGGTGGACGCGCTCATCGGTCTCTTGCAGGTTGGAGACGAGGACGAGAAGGCGGACGTCGCGGCAACGCTCCAGGAGCTTGCCCGGGACGGCGATGAGAGCCGGGTGGCGATTGCGGCAGCCGGCGGCCTCGAGGTGCTAGTGTCGTTGGCTCGCGACGGGAATGAGGCGCAGAAGGAGCGTGCGGCGGCGGCGCTGTGGAACCTCTCTGCCGACCACGACAACAGCGTGGCGATCGCTGCGGCCGGCGGGGTCGAGGCCCTCGTCGCGCTGGCTCGCGACGGGAATGAGGGAGAAGGAGAAAGCGGCGGGGGCGCTGTGGAACCTCTCTGTCAACGCCGACAACAGAGTCGCGATAGCCGCGGCCGGGGGCATCGAGGTCCTCGTGTCACTGGCTCGGGACGGGAATCAGGGGCAGAAGGAGCGTGCGGCGGCGGCGCTGTGGAACCTCGCTTACAACGACGACAACAGAGTGGCGATAGCCGCGGCCGGCGGGATCGAGGTGCTCGTGTCACTGGCTAGCGACGGGAATGAGGTGCAGAAGGAGCTGGCCGCGGGGGCGCTCAGCAACATGATTGAGGTAGCGTCTGGCACGCACGAGGGCGTCGTGGAGGCTGGCGGTGTGGCGGTCCTCTCCTCTCTCACGCAGGAGGCAGGCGCCCCGGGCGACTGCAAGCTCGCTGCTGCCATGGCACTTGTGTACCTGGCCGGCAGCTGTCCCGACCTCGCGGCTGACGACACTTGCCTCTCGCTGCTCCTCTCGCGGCTGGATCAGCCCGAGGAAGATGGCTGGCGCAGAGACAGCATCGTCGCCCTCCTCGCCCTCGCAACCTCCTCGTCTGCGTGCGCTGAGCAGTGGCACCGGGTCGGCGGCGTGGCGGCGCTGCAGGCGCTGGCGCGAGAGACGGCGGAGGAGGGGGTGGAGAGGCAGGCGGAGAGGTGCGACGAGGCGCTAGTCAGCCTCGGCGTGAGGAGGGTGCGCAGGCGGACGGCCGCGTGAGCGCCCCAACGGAGCCGCGCGAGAGATTCATTTGAGAGATCGAGTCTTTCGTTTTCCTAGAATTCTTTTTTGCAAGGCATCCCACTTGTATTGGTGCCGCCGGCCTAGTCGTGCAATTCACGTTTACGACTACTAAAAATGCTTCCCGGTGCGAAAAAAAACTCGGAGGCACACCACCGAAAAGGGCTCGGCGAGATCTATCGATTGGCACTATTTCCGAAAAATCGACTGGATTTTCCTCCCCCGCCTTCGACTGTGTGCACCGCCTTCGACTAGTGACTGTCGGTGACAAGTGCGTCCAGACGAAGGCCAGCAGAGCCCACGGCGCCCAGTGCGGCACCATCAACGCGAACCCGCCGTACACCATCATCTCGCCCGCGTAAGTGGGATGCCTCACGAGCGCAAACGGCCCGTCGGTGACGAGGCCGCGCTTGTGGCGCAGGGTCACGTGCTTGTAGAGGTCGGCGACCACCATCAGCACGACGCCGACAGCGTAGACAATCATCGCGGCGCAGCACCGCAGGTGCGACGGCTCGGGCGCGATGCCCGATATCAAGAGGCACGCCGCGATCCAGTAGGGACCGAGCACGAACAGGAAGCTCATGAGCTGGCTGAGCACCGTTGTCCTCACCTCCCACTATGCAGTGCTTGAGCAGCCAGATCAGGCCGTAGCTCCCGTGTGCGGCCGCGTAAAAGCAAGCGCTGGCGCTGTAGTTGTCAAAGTACCACATGAGGCCGAGCACAAACGGAAGCGTACCTGCAGGTTGATGATCACGTACCACGGCACGCAGTGAGGGCCGGGCGGGAAATCCACGCCGATGAGCTGATTGAGTGCCGCTTGCGCGCGCGGGACTGCGTTGGCCTGGTACTTTGGCAAATTACGGCAGTGAAGGATGCGTTGCTCAGCCGGCCAGATTCGTCACGCCGAAGCGGCGCTGAGAGCGGCGGGAGCGCGTGTCAAGCTGCTCGACGTGTCACACGGCTTCCACTCCGCGCTGCCTTCGCCTCTTCTCTTTCGACCGTTGTGGATCAAGCATACACCGTCCCTAGGACAGAGGCGGTCCCAACCTTCTCCCGCATTGACAGGACCTCCTGGTGGTGGGAACCGAGCCAGACGCCCACCGCTCCGTAGCCAGTCGCAATTCCTGCCGTTCCAAGAGAAGCCCCCTTCGCGAGAAGTTTCTCATGCCCAGAGATGGAGGAGACAAAACTGCAGACGAGCTGGACGCCGCCGTGCGCTGTCAACAGAATGCACCCGAGCCTCGTACTGGCACGTGCAGCAAGTGTCACTTGGGCGAGCAAGACCAGGCATGCGAGCACAGCAGCCAGGTGGATGAGGCGGTGCTCCTCTCCAAGATCCGCCAGATTCACGGACACAAGCCCGATGATGAGCACCGCAACGTGGATCGGCTGACTCTGCCGCGTTTTCGCTGTTAGATCGCACGGCAGAGTTGGCGGCGACGGTGGCGACGAGATGCAGGATGATGGCGGCTCCGGCGCGCCGGCAGAGTCGTGAGGCTGCTCGCACTGAATCGTGGTGGCGGCAGCGGCAGCGGCGGTGAAGCCATTCGGAGCATTTGGCTGTGCGGAGGGTGTGGCATGTGGAGCGTCGAGGAGGTGGAGCAGCAGGGCTCGCTGCTGCCTCTGCAGCATCAACAGCTGCTGATGATGATGCACCGGCAACTGTCTGCCAACGGGCTCCAGTTGCTGGTGGAGTGCCGCAAGCGCATGAGTCGGGAAGCGGGAGGCGAATTGGTGCCACGGCAATGTGACCCGGGCAGGAGCTGGTGGAGCAGAGCTCGAGGCCGATGATGCCGGCCTCCCCTGCTGCTGGTTAGAATCGCCGAGAGTGGTCGTCTCGTCGCGCCCACCCTCCATACAACACATGCAACGCGCCGGAGTTTTTCTGAGTGTCGTCGGTCTCACGGGAAAAAAATCTGTCCCCGTTCTCCCGGCCGGGGTGGGGCGCGCGCGGGGGCGGCGGGTGTGAGGCGAGTGTGCGGGATGTCTGTGGGCCCGAGAGCGATATGCCATGTCCGCCTTGCTTTGTTTCCTAACATCGAAGGCTAAGCTCAAAAAATCTCTCTCTGGCTGTTCATCTCCTCATCTCTTTCCCACCAAGGCGGGGGGCGGTGGGCGTGTGCGCGCGGCGCGGCGGTGTGTGTGTGGTGTGACTGCGATAGAGGGTGCGCAGCGTCCTAATCCAAAATCTTAGGATTCAGGATTCAGGCATCGCTTCAGTGGGGCCAAACAAAGTGAGTTTATTGATGTGTGAGGAAGGTACGGGACACGAGGAGTCACGCGGACCGACTCGTCGGTGACTCTGCTGCACGCCGTTTCAGATTTTTTCTCAGCGTGAGCGAGACGTGGTCGTGGAAGAGTGCCACCGTCGGGTAGGACGGGTCGGCCCGGAGCATCAGAGTAGCCGTCGTGGTCGCGGCGAGCAGCGCCGGCCACTCCGGCGCCGCGTCGGCAACATGGGAGCATGTCCACCGGCGCCACTGGATTTTGGGGCGCTGCGCACGCCCCCTAACTGCGACAAGGGACCAACCAGCCGCGGCCGGGAGAAAGAAGCAGCGCGGCGACGCGAAGCATGAACTTCGCAAAAAAATACTAAACGTGCAACCTGCCACACGAGCCGCCACACGCAGTGCAGGAACGCTCACGATAGCGCTCTACCGGTGGGGGGAGAATCGTGGGTTGCAGACGCGTCTGTCTATATCTCTTCTACGGCCCCTACCTAACTATGGAAATCTCGACGATTCACAGTAGACGCGGATGTCCACGCGAGAGAGAGCCGCTCGGCGACACTCGATTGCCACCTTAATATGTCTATCCTCTCGAGCGGTGTGCAGCACTGCAGACGGCTCTGCCGAGTTCTTGCCGATATTACACGAGCACAGGCCGAGGGTTTTGCCGTGCCGACATCGACCCCCTCGCTGCAAAAGCAGCCGTCGCTGTGAGCAAGCTCGCCGCAAATTCCACGCCAAGTCCGGCCCAAAACACATAGGCAATGGTCGCTGTGAGGAAGCCGGCAGCGAAGCCGGTGATGCTGCGGCGCGGCCTCGGCGCGGCGCCACTTTCCATGCTGAGGGACGCCCATTCACCCGGCAAGATCCCACTGCCAATTTCTTCTGTGACTGTTCCGTCCTCCTCGTCGTCGTCCTCGTCGTCGTCCTCGGCGTCGTCCTCGTCGTCGTCCTCAGGTTTGAGAGATCTCGCGCGCACGGCACCGAGCCCCGCCTGCTTTGTTTCTTCGGGTGGCGCCTCGGGCGGCGCTTCCGTCGCTTGGAGGCCAGTGACCAACTTCGCCTGACCGTCGGCGAGAAGAGCGATGGCCAACGTGACTGAGGTGCTGAGCAAAGCCTTCCGCATCTTCCACCTTCGGTCCTCGGTGAACGGGGGTGCGGTCCGCCGACAAGCAATGGCACCGACTTTCTTCTTTTCCGAGTTGCTGCAGCAGTAGCTATATGAGCAAGCCTGCTCTAGCCTCGCATGTCACTTCCTGTCGTCTGTTGTGTCGTTGTGCCCTTGTTTGTACTCTTGGCACCGTGGAGTGCTGGGGGGGGCGACAGGGAGGATATGGCCTTGAGTTATGTGTAAGCCGACTCAGTAAAGAGAGTGGGCGCACATGTGGGTGACAGAGCACCAGGAATTCCTTTCTTTTTTGGCTCGATTCTTTTTTCGAGATCGCTCCGGTTTGAAAAATTCGTCTTGTCTTTGAAGCGCTACCCAACGCGGCCAAAGGATATCCACCTCGAGACCTCGAGACCTCGAGAAAGCGTAACGCGATTGCTTGCTGCGCGGCGTCGCTCCTTGACCAATGGAGGCTGGTGTCGAGCGGCCCGCGTCGGCGGAGCGGGCGCTCGACAAGGTGGAGACGGGTCTGAAGATTGCCGACTCCGTACTCAAGCTCGGCGAAAACTCTGGGCTACCACTCCTGCCGGCCGTTTGCAGCACGGCTCGCGGCGTCCTTGAAGTCGTGCAAGCGTCGCAAACTGTGATCAATGATGCGCTGTCGATTGCGCAGCGCACGATCGACGTCCTCGAGCTGCTGCAGCGCATGGCTCAAAACGTGAAACGCATGGACGTGACGAGCCGCGCTCGCGTCGAGGACCGGATGCGCGAGTTGCAGCGGCTGCTCGAAGACGTGCGCTCGGCTGTTGATGCCTTGGGCAAGCAGGGCTGGCTGCGACACGTGCTCAACGTGGGCAGGCGCACCACGCTCTCGCAGCTCGACTCGGATATCACCAGCCAGCTTGACGACCTGTTCAAGTTCTACAACCTCGCCCGCGACGCGCACATCCTCGTCCGGCTGCAGGCGCGCGAGTATGCTGTCGAGGCGGAGGTGGAGCGGCAGGTGGCCGAGCGGAAGAGGCTGGGCGAGGCTGCCGACGCGGAGGCGCTCGAGAAGGACTGCGAGGTCGTGCGCGGCATCGCCGTCTCCTCGGGCGTGTCGGACGCCGACTTCCGTAGCGAGCTTCGCGACCTTCCCGCTGAGGTGCGGGAGGCATTTGAGAAGCACGGCCTCAAGCTTGACAAGGTGCTCGAGCTGAACCAGCAGCAGAACATCAAACAGGACCAGATCCTCGAAAAGCTGACGAATCTTTCAATGGGCGTAGTGCAGTCGACCCAGATCTCACGACTGTCGCTCTACGCGTACGACCGCAAGCCGGACGCGCCCCCCAGCAAGAAGGACAAGCCCGCCGCGTGGCTTGGCAGCGGGACGTTCGGCAGCACGTACCGTATGCGCAAGAAGGACGGTATCGACGAGCTGCGGTACGCGGTTAAGTTCATAGAGGACAGAGACTCGGAGCTGCCGCAGTCGAGGCTGGCCGAGGAGGCGCGGCTGCTGGCAAAGCTCGACCACCCCCACACGGTGCGCTACTTCGACTCCTTCTGGCACACGGTCAAGGCGCGTGACGAGGACGAGGAGGACAAGTCGCAGTTTATCATCGTCATGGAGCTGCTTTCGGGGGGCTCGCTGGAGCTGAAGATGACCACGCCACCGCAGCCGCCGAGCGCAGCGGCCACATGGGTGCAGCAGGCCGCCTCGGGCCTCGCGTACATGCACTCGCTCAACCTGCAGCACCGCGACCTCAAGCCGGCCAACGTGATGCTCGACTCGACGGGCCGCGCGAAGATAATCGACTTTGGGCTCGCGTGCGTCTCTTCCGCCTCGCGGTCGCGCACCAAGACCAAGGTGGGCACGAACGCATACATGTCGCCGGAGAAGACCGCGGAGAAGCGGTACGGGCCGGCGGACGACGTGTGGGCGGCCGGCTGCATCCTCGCCGAGCTTCTGCTCGGCCGCCCGATCGGCAACGTGGCGCTCGACGCGGCAAAGCGGCAGCGCGCGATCGCCGAGAGCAAGGTTGCGAGCAAGCAGCTGGGCTCGTGGGTCGAGGGTTGTCTGCAGGAGAGCCCGGGGCGGCGCCCGGCAGCGAGGGTGCTGGAGCAGGGGCTGGCGTCGGGTGGCCCGGGTGCGCGCGAGGCGGAAGAGCGTCGGGTGGCCCGGGTGCGCGCGATCGCCGAGGCAGCAGCGTCTGCAGCAGTGGCAGATGAGAAGGTTCGCGCGCGGAAGGAGGCTGTCGAACGCTCTCGGAGGGAGGCGGAGGAGGAGCGCGCTCAGCAAAAGGCGGCGGGAAGCGCACGCCAGGAAGCGGCGGCTGTAAGTGTTCGGAGCACGCCCCATACCGGTAAGGAGCCGAACCCGAACCTCCCCGCCAACACGCCCACTTCGTCGCGCATGCGCCACGAGCGCGAGGCGCTGGGCCTCGAGCACTCGCCGCGCTCCATCTTCAAGATGCTCAACGAGGCGGAGCACTCCGAGTCGCTGGTTTACCTCACCTGTTCGATCTGCGAGGAGGTTCTGGAGGACCCGCTCTTCACGCCGTGCCACCACACCTTTTGCGGTGCGTGCATCCGCGGCCGGCTGCGCGAAGGCGAGGAGAGCTGCGCCGAGTGCCTCGCGCCTCTGAAAGAGGGCGACCTGCAGCCAAACCTGATGGCGGCCAAGCTGCTCTCGCGCATGCGCTCGTGCTGCATCTACAAGGCGCACGGCTGCAGCTGGAAGGGACGCGTCTCCGAGCTCTCGAAGCACTACCGCAGCTGCTCGTACGCGGCCGGCCCCTGCCCGTTTGGGTGCGGCCGCAACCTCACGCCCGCGAGCTACGCCTCGCACGTGCTCTCCTGTGAGCTGCGGACGGTGGGCGACTGCCCGTGCGGGAGGAAGTACAGGTTCTCGGAGCAGCAGACGCACCGCGCCGTGTGCCTGCCCTACCAGAGAGAGGCGCGCCGCAGGGCGGAGCGGGAGGCCATCTCGCAAAAACTCCGAAGCTCGCGCAGGCACACCGCAGAGCTGCGAGCCACCTCCCGCTCGGTACGGCTCGGGGGCGCGCACGAGGCGGTCGAACTCGTCTCAGAGTCGCTGATCCCGCACCTCGTGGCGCTCGCCCTCTTCGCCATGCTGATCCAGCCGCTTCGGCGCGACGGCACGTTTTCCGCTGCAGTGTACAACATCACCGCCGCATACTCGCAGCAGGGCCCGCTTCTCCACTTCGGCGCCGTGCTGCTCGCAGCGTCGCTCGCGGCAGACGGCCTGTGGCGCGTGTGCCCTAGAAGCGGAAGACGGAACTCTTGTCTTCCAACTAGCGCTCGAGAGGACACGCACTCCGCTGCACTCGGCCGCATTCCGCCGTGTTCGTGGCACTACTCACATCCCTCGTATTCGCGCGGTGCTCTGAATGCTCTGCACACGGCCGCACTCCCGCCCTGAGTCTGGCGTATCCACCGCCAACACTCTCTGCACAATACCGCACTCCCGCCCCGAGTCTGGCGCATTCGCCCTGCAGGCTCGTGGCGGGCGTGCACTCCTCAGACCCATCCCTCCTCTCCTTCCCGCCCTCGCCCCCCTCCTCCGCCCCGCTCCTCCCGCGCGGCGGCGCGGACGGCGGCGGCGGGGCGGCCGGCGGCGGCGGCGGCGCGGCGGGTGCAGGGGATGCGGCGGGCGGGGACCCGTACACACTGATGGAGAGAGCGCTCGGGTGGGCCGCCTCGATGCGCGCAAACGACGAGACGCTCACGCACCTCTTCCTGCTGCTGCCGATCATCACCCTCAAGGCGGTCTGCCTCTTCCTCCTCGCCGAGGGACGCAAGGCCACCGGCCAGCGCGACGCCGCCGCGGCGCGAGCGGCGGGTCGCAACGCCAATCGGGGCGGGGGCCTCCCGACCAGCGGCGCCGAGAGCGGCGCTGGCGGGCTCTGCGGTGGCGAAGACCTCGGCGCGGCGCTGGAGAAGTACTTGGGCCGCGCCCTCCTCCTCGCGGGCTGCGTCCTCTCGCTGCTGCGCGCCGACGCGTCGTGCGCGCTCGGGCTCCTCGCCACGCTCGGGCAGCACGAGTCGAGGCTTTACTTCTCCCGCGCCCTGCTCGGCACCGCCCTGCTCGCGCTCGCAATGGACGCCGACTGGCTTGGCGTCGGAGGAGCGCGGGAGGGCGCGCCTTGCCGGCCGGGCCTGGCCGGCGTGCCTTGCGCCGCGGGGCTTGCCGCGGGTGAAGCGTGGCTGAACCCGACCTACCTCTGGTCGCTGCTGCTGCAGGGGCGGCTCGCGCTGCTCTGCACGGTGCTCGCCGCGCCACTCAAGCTCGCGCTCCTCCTCATCGGCGCCTACCTCAACTACTCGCAGCCGGCGGCGCCCACGCGGCCGTTCCGCTTCCCCGAGGCGCGGCGAGATTACCCGAGATTACCCGAGATTACCCGAGAATACCTACGCGGCCGTTCCGATTCCCCGAGGCGCGGCTCGAGCATGCGGCGGTGGCGCGAGTCTTCAAGCTGCGCCAGAGGAGCGCGCGGCTAGGCGTGCGCCGCCATCTCGCGCCATCTCGCGCCATCTCGCGCCATCTCGGGCCATCTCGGGCCATCTCGCGCCATCTCGGGTAATCTCGCGGCCAGGCGGCGCTGCCGAGGACGTCGACGAGGCGGAGGCGCGCTCGGCTATCGCAGGCGACATGCTGTCGAGGGACGCGGCAGAGGAGCTCGCCGAGGGGTTCCGGCGGCAGAGGGCGGAGGAGCGGCAGCTCGCGCTCTCAAAGTCGCTCTTCGCGTTGGGCTTCCTCTCGCTGCTGCTCGGCTCCGTCGGCGTCCTCTACGGCAGCGAGGGGATCGCGCCGTCCCTCTCCGCGCCGCTGCTCGAGCTCCCTGTCCTCTCGATGGTCGCCGCGTTCGGCTGCCTCTGCGACTCGCGCACGCGCCGCTCCCCGGAAGTGTCCCGGAAGTGTCCCGGAAGTGTCTAGGCTGCCTCCGCGACTCGGGCACGTGCCGCTCGTCACCACGCAAGTGCACTCGCTTCCTCTGGTCGACCGTGTACCTGCACTGCACGCTGCTGCTGCTGCTCTCGTCCGCGCTCGCCCTCTACGCCGCCGAGCTCGCGCACGCACCCGCTTGCTGCGGCTTCGCCCACCTCTCCCTCTTTGAGCAGCTGCAGCTCTGCACCGTCGTCGCGCTGATCCTCGTCCACGGCCACCGCCTAGACACGTCCTGGACACGCCCTAGACACGCCCTAGACACGTCGTCCTTCACGTCTTCTCGTCCACGGCCCCCTGCGCCGCCGATGGCCTCTCACGCCCCCCCCCCCCCCCCGGATCCCCCTCCCCCGGTGCGCACAGGCCTCGCCATCGCGACCGTCACGCAGCTACTCGCCGCCATCTCGTCGCTCGCCTCGGCCGACGGCCTGCACGTCCTCAAGGCGGCCGCTCGGAGGGGCCTCTCCGTCGCGTGGGCGCTGCTGGTTGCCTCGCTGCTCATGCTGCTCGTGCGCCTCGACGTGGACATCGCCCTCGCCCTCCTCGCCCTCGTGGCGCTGTACGAGCTCCGCGCCGCGACCACCGCCGCCGCCGCCGTCGCCCTCGCGGCCGACGATGAGGGCGAGGACGTCGCCCTCCTCGCGCGCTCTCCGCACCGCGTGCCGGGCGGCGGGCTCACCGTGCTGCTGCTGCTGCCGGCGGCGGTGGCGGTGGACGTGGTCGACGGGTACGAGAGGCTCACGGGCTGGGCGGCGAGCGACGTTGGCGCGCGGGGCGAGGCGCAGGCGATGGTGTACACCGAGGCGGCGCTGCTGCTGCTCTGCGGCCTCAAGCTGCTCCTCAAGCTCCGCCTCGCCCTCGCCCTGTGGCGGGTGCGCGCGCTCGGCCGCCCCGCCGCGCTGGACGGGGGCGAGGTGCGCCGGCTGGGATGCACTGAGCGGGTCCTCTTCGCCGCGTGCGTGCTGAGCCTGGCCGCCGCGCTGGGCGCGCTCGACGCGTCGCTGCTCCCGTCCTCGCGGACGCTCGGCAGCCTGGGGCAGCCGCGCGACGAGGGCGGGGCGGCGGCGCAGGGCGGCAACGCGACGCTCGCCGCCCTCGCGGGGGGCGCCCTCCCCGCCAACGCGTCGCCGCACCACCACTTGGACGAGCGCCTGTCGAGCCGCGCATTCTTCGGCGGCCTCCTGCTGGCGCCGCGGGACACGTCCAGGACACGTCCAGGACACGTCCAGGACACGTCCCTCAGGCGGCTTCCTCCTGGCGCGGCGGGACACCTCGCTGCTCGGCGCGGCCCTCCGCTCCCCGCCGGCCGCGACCGACGGCGGCGACGGCGGCGAGGGAGGGCAGGGCGGGCAGGGCGGGCAGGGCGGGCAGAAGACTCGCCTCACCCTCTCCGAGTGGCTCTCCCCCGACGGCGCCGCCGCCGCACTCAGCGCGGGACCGCTCGCGCTCCTCGCCGCCGCCGGCTGCACCCTCGCCCTCGGCGGCGGCGGGACGGCCCACTCCTAGAAGCGGAAGACGCATTCCTGGATTGCAATCAGCGAGAGGACGCGTCTCCGCTGCACTCGGCCCGCATTCGGCTGTACTCCCTCCCTTCACATCCCTCGTGATTCCCGCGGTGCTCGGACTCCTCTGCACAACGCTTTGGTCCCTCCCTGACTTCGATGTGATTCATGGCACAGGTTCCCACCCTCGCCGACCTGCCCACCCTCGCGCCGATGGTTGCCGCCGGAGCGCCGGTGCTAGCCGTCGCCTCCGCGGCAGTGCTGCGGCGCGGCCCGCTGCAGGCGACGCCGCTCGAGGCCTTCCTCGGCATGCTCGCGGGCGGGAGGGGGAAGGAGGAGTGGTCAGAGGTTGGTGTCGGCACCGCCCTCTCGTCGTGGTTCCTCTCGCTTCAGGTGCCGCTCCTCCTCCTCGTCGCCGCCGCCGCGGTGGCGCTCATCCACAAGCGGCTGAGCGGCGCGGCAAGCGCGGACGCGACGCCGGCGCCACGCGCCCCTCGGCCGCAGTCGAGGGCGGTGGCCCGCGGTGCGAGCGGCGGGGGTGGCGGTGGCAAGGCCGCCGCCGGCGCCGCCACCGCCGGCTTTGGCGATGCGCGCGTCGCAGCGGAGGATGCGCTTCCCGAGGCGCGCGGCGGCTGTGCTCTCGCGACGCGCCGCAGCGAGACACGCGCAGCCTTCAGCACGCATGCGTCGGCTCTGAACCGTACGGGGAGGCTGCGGTCCTCTCGCCCCGTCCCCTGAGCGGCGACCCGCGACCACGCCGTCTCCCTCGCCACGCCGTCGCGCAACGTCGCCTTGGCGAGGACGCGTCCCCACCGCCGCCGCAGGAAGCGGCGGAGGCAGAGGCGCGGGCGGCGGAAGCGGCAACGGTGGCGAGGGCGCGGGGCGCGGGAGCGGCAAGAGCAGCGAATGCGGCGGCAGCGGCGGAAACGTCGGGGGAGGCGGCGGAAGCGGCGGCGGCGGAGGCGGCGGCGGAAGCGGCGGCGGAAGCGGTGGCCGAAGCAGTCGCGGAAGCGGCGGCGGAGGCAGCAGCGGTGGAGACGGAGGCGGAGGGGGCAGCAGCGCGGCTGCTCCGGGTCGGGCGTCGCCGCAGAGGAGCGATGCACTTTGGAAGTGCCGCGCTTGCTCCATCCTGAACAAGCCCGCCGCCCGCACCTGTCGGGTGTGCGCGCAGCCGCGGCCGCGTTACGCTTCGCCGCGCCGAGAGGGCGGTGCCGACACCAACCTCTGACCACTCCTCCTTCCCCCTCCCGCTCGCGCCTCGGTGCCCGACGTGCCAGCTCTGGTGGCGCTTGCAGAGGCGGGTGATTTCGCGCCGCTGGTGGCGTTGGCTCGCGACGGCATGGACGGGCAGAAGGAGAAGGCCGCGCATGCGCTTGGGATCCTCGCCTGCAACGCCGACAATCACCGCGGCGATCGCGAGGGCGGGCGGGCCCGCCTCTGGTGGCGCTGGCTCGCGGCGGCTCGGACTGGCAGAAGGAGCAGGCCACGAGGGCGCTGGGGAACCTTCGAAGGCGGGCGGCATCCCGGCGATGGCGCCGTGCGCTGGTCTGTGAGAGGTTGAGGTGCGAGCCCTGGAGGCCCTGGGAATGGGGGGGTCACACAAAAACACAACCCCGCGGTTCACAGCTAGATTCGAGTATCCCCCAAAAGATACATTTGAAATCTTCATTTGACTATAAAGATTAAAGATACACTTGACTATGTTACACATTTCAAGCGGTGTATCTTCGAAGTGTATCTTCGAAGTGTACGCGGTCCGTGAAGATACTCTCGTGGCCAATTGCACGGAGTACGATCTCCACGCGTTTCTCGCGCCGGGCGCCTCTGCCACCCACGCCTCCCTCCCCGAGCACGAGGCGCGTGCCTCCGCCTCCACCGAGGACGCGGCGGGCGGGACGATGGTGGCGGAGGTCGCCCTCTCGGCCGCGCTCCCCGACTACGCGGCCGTGCGCGAGGCGGTGGCGCAGCGGGGGGGGGCGGGCATGGCGGCGGAGGCATCGCCGCCCTCCGTCAGGCGATCACAGACGGCGCGGCGGTGGCATGGCGGGCGGAGGCTGCTCCCGACGCCAGTCTGGTGCGCGCCCTCCAACGGGCTCGGCTGGTGCGCGACGAGCATGTTGCGTTTGACGTGCGCGCTGCGGGCTGGGAGCGTCTCGACTGCCGCCGGGCTCGTAGGAGGCGGCGGCCGAGGCGGAGCGGCGCGAGCGGGCGCGGCTCGACCGAGAGAGGCGAGCAGCCGGCGCCCACCGCGCTAGCGACGCCTCCGTCTCTGCGCCGCCCTCCTCCTCCGCTTAGGCGGCTCCCGTGGTGTACCTGTGCTAGTGCCAGTGCGCGCCAGTCCCGTGCCTAGTGTCGTGCGAGGGAGTTTCTTTGTAAAATTCTTTCTTTGCTTGCCCATCGGAGTTCCCTCGCGTTGCGAAAATTCTTTGCCGCATCTCTAGTGACTTAGTTGCTCCGACCCCCCCGCCCCCCCCCCCTCTCCCCGGACCGAGGCGCGCGCAAGGCGCGAGACACACTGTCACCTCGAACACGTCGCGGCGCTCGCTTGCTTGCCGTCGCTGGCTGGGGTGGCTGGGCTTTGTCTGCCACCCACGCACCCCTTTGGAAACAGAGCAGTCCCCCCCCCCCCCGACCACCCGACCGAGCGATTTCTTGTCCTTTTTGTTTTGTTTTGTCGTCGCTGGCTGGTGGTGGCTGGGCTTAGTTTGGTAGAGAGAGAGATTTTTAGCAATACCAAACAGTTTTGTTGTAGTTTGTTTGCCACACACACGCACCCCTTTGGGGTCACAGCCCCCCCCCCCCCTCCCCTCCCCACGCACTACGATTTATTTTCCTTGTTCTTTTCGGTTCTTGTTTTTAAAACGCGCGCGCATGCTATTTCTTTTAGTATGAATTCTTTCCGCCCGTACACTGTACCCCTAGGTTCATCTTGGCCTACTAGTAGATAAGTTAAAATGAAGAATTCTCAAAATACAAGCCACACTGGCACGACAAGTGTGTGTGTGTGTGTGCGGCGGGGAGCGAGGAACAGAGAGGAGGAGAGGGCTTATCCGAGGAGGAGGGTGGTGATGATGCATCGACGATAGGGGGAGGAACCGAGGTGGTGGGGATGGTGCAATCAGCCGAGGAAGGAGAAGAGGGAGGAGAGGGGAAAGGAGAGGACGCTGGGCACTTCGACTCTGCGCCATGGATGAGTGCGCAGCGCGAGGAGGCGATCGTGCAGGTTCAACATCTTTGGGGGTAGGGTGGACACGCTGACGAGGCGCAGAGCGCGCCATTGGTGCGGCGCCGCGCGGCCGCGAGGGGCCGTGGGAGGAGGCTAGCGGGTTGGAGGGCTCAAGGGGGAGGGAGCGGGGGCACCCACACACACACACACGCTGACGTGAGACGGTTAAAGAGTTACGATCCGGCGGAGTATTTCTTGCTCCGATCGAGTTACAAGAGGAGCTTGATGTTCAGCGAGATTTAAGGTGATACTCTCTGTGTACGAGTTGCGTCTCTATGCACTATGGTGGATCAGTGGTGGATTTTCACAATCATGCGATGGTGCAAACCGGAGTTTAGCGCTAGCACATCGTGTAGAGGGTGTCTGCACTCTATCATCATCACTCTTTTTTCACATGTACATGTACATGTTACATGTTCTCAACGTATGTGAATGCGGTGCAAGACGGCCTCGGGCTCTGTGTTACTATCTTCTTACCCGAGGATGCACATGTTGAGGTGGCCCCCTTTATGGCGGCGCTGGCCTAGCTTACCTTGGCGTGAGCTGCGGCCAGGGCGCACTCGCCCCCGATGGCATGCCCGCGAGAGTCTCAGAGCCGAGAGGTCCTCACAAGAGGTCCTCAATTGATGTTCCGAGAGGACCTCACAGCAGTCCATGAGGAGCTCAGTCTTTGACTCCGCTCCCACTTGCCCCCACTGGTAATAGTGCCAGTCTGACAAGGGTACTGCTCCAGCCGATCAAGGCCAACATGTAGGTTGATGTGCGTGACACCGACGACCCGTGTAGGTCCTCTGCTGCTCTTTGATTTATGCTGCCTCTGATCTGACTGTTCCGTGAGGACCTCTCTATCCGTGAGGACCTCTGTCCGTGAGGACCTCTTGTCACTCCCCGCGTAGAGTCGCGGCCGGACCTCAGGCCACTGCTCAGACCGAGGTAGACCGAAGGCTCGGTAGCCGATTTCCCCCTTCAATATCCAGCCGTCAAACAGACAGGGCAGGCCAGTTGGCTCTGCTGCTCTTACTAGATATCAACACGGAGGAAGTGTGCGGTTGTATACCTCATCAGCACTGAAATTGCTACTCGTTCGCCTTTGACTCTGTTTCCACCCTCCATCCTCGCACCCCGTCCACTGCTCCAATTTCTCAGTGATGGCAGTGATGTTTCCCTCTCGCATTGAGTCCTCCACCACCTCTGAGGGGAATAATCCTCCACCCGCCTTTTCCCACTTGCCCTCCGGGGTAGTCCCTTCTGCACACACACACACACACACACACACACACACACACACGCTCGCACGCACGTCGCGGCGATGAATTCTTTTTGCGCGTACCCCCAGCCGGTTCATCTTCGCGCTCTGGCATCTCTTGCCGCAAAACACGCAATTCGCGGATCATTCATCCTCCGCCGTCATGCACCGCCGCGCTCTCTCGCGCGTCGCCGCCTCTTCGCGGCCGCGACTGCTCTCGCGCCACCTCTTGAGGCGGATGAGCACTGCCGCGGCCGAGATTGCCGAGCGAGGCGCCGCCGCCGGCCTCAAGTTCTACCAGTTCTCCTTCGTCGACCTCTTTGGTGTGCAGCGAAGCAAGCTCGTGCCAGCCTCTCGCGTCGCGGAGATTGCAGAGGGTGGCGCGGGCTTCGCAGGCTTCGCAGCGCACCTCGACATGGACCCGACGATGGGCGATCTGCTCGCCGTTCCGGACGCAGCGACGCTCACGCCGCTGCCGTGGCAGCCCGAGGTCGGCTGGCTCAGCTGCAACCTTGTGCACGAGGACACGGAGCTCGCCCACGGCCCTCGCAACGTGCTGCGCAGCGTGCAGGCCAAGCCAGCAGTAGTACCTAGTAGGTGATCTGAGCAGCAATAGTAGGCGACCTGAGCTGCACAGATCGGACCACTATCCACGCCCAAGTGACTGGCGGCAGGAAACGTGGCTTCAACCCGCACAGGGACCGGGGAGACGGGACACGCACGCACTGAGACAGAGAGTGAGCGGCGAGAACAGGAGAGCACGCATCATACTCAAGACTACTTACCCTGTATCAATTTACCCTGTATCAATTCCTGTATGAACTACGGCTGCGCAGGCCAAGCGGCCGAGCGTGACTCTCGAGCTCACTGACCATGAGTCGATCTGAGTCCCTGTCGTGCCCACGTGCCGTTAACCAGTATGAGCTCCTCTCGGTGCAGGCCAGGCTGGCCGAGCACGGCGTGGCGCTCAAGACGGGCGTAGAGTGCGAGTTCTTCCTCCTCGACGGCAGCGCGCCCGCCGCCCGCCCGGCGCTCTCCGACCCGCTCGACGTGCAGGCGAAGCCGTGGTATGACGCGGGCGATCTCGGGTGATCTCGGGTATTCTCGGGTATTCTCGGGCAATCTCGGGCAATCTCGGGCGATCTCGGGCAATCTAGGATGACCTCGGGTGATCTCGGGTGATCTCGGGTGATCTCGGGTGATCTCGGGTGACCTCGGGTGATCTCGACGTGCAGGCGAAGCCGTGCTATGACGCGCACGCGCTCATGCGCCGGTACGAGCTCATCACCCCATGTCTCCCCATGTCTCCCCATATCTCCCCGTATCTCCCCGTACCTCCCCGTACCTCCCCGTACCTCCCCATATCTCCCCGTATCTCCCCATATCTCCCCGTACCTCCCCATATCTCCCCGCAGGTACGAGCTCATCTCGACGCTGGTGAGCCACATGGAGCAACTCGGCTGGGGCCCGTACCAGGCGGACCACGAGGACGCCAACGGCCCCGACCGCGACCGATGCGGAGGGTCCTCCGTGCGCGCGCGTGGCACTGAGCAGTGCCGACCCTTCCGAACAGGCCAGTTCGAGATCAACTGGGACTTTGACGACGCCCTGGCGAGAGTGCCCGAGAGACCCGAGATTGCCCGAGATTACGAGAGATGACTCGAGATTGCCCGAGATGACCCGAGATTGCCCGAGATTGCCCGAGGTTGCTTCGACGACGCCCCCGTGACCGCCGACCGCGTTGTGCTGCGCGAGCGGTCAAGTTGGCTCGAGCGAACTCATGCACTCACAGGTGACCGCCGACCGCGTGGTGCTCTTCAAGTACATGGTGCGCTCGCTGGCCGAGCGGGCCGGCCTCCGCGCGACGTTTATGCCAAAGCCCTTCGCGTCGCTGACCGGCTCCGGCTGCCACGCACACGTCTCGCTGCACGAGCCGGGCACGGGCAAGAACCTTTGCCAGGGCGGCGCGCCCGAGGCGCACCTCGGCCTCACCCTCGGCCTCACCTCGGCCTCACCTCGGCCTCACCTCGGCCTCACCTCGGCCTCACCTCGGCCTCACCTCGGCCTCACCTCGGCCTCACCTCGGCCTCACCTCGGCCTCACCTCGGCCTCACCTCGGCCTCACCTCGGCGATTTCTCGGCGATTTCTCGGCTATGCCTCGGCTATGCCTCGGCTATGCCTCGGCTATACCTCGGTTGCACCTCGGCTGTATCTCGGCTATACCTCGGCGATACCTCGCCTATATCTCCCCCCCTCGAGATGCACGGGCTATCACCGCTGGCGCTCTCCTTCACCGCCGGCCTGCTCGCCCACGCGCCGGCGCTCACGGCGCTCACCAACCCGACCGTCAACTCGTACAAGGTAAGCCTCGGGCAACCTCGGGCAATCTCGGGCCCATCTCGGCCCATCTCGGTCCCATCTCAAGCCACCAACCCAACCCTCGGCTCGTCCAAGCGGCTGGGCGCGCGCATGACTTCTTCGGGGGCGACGTGGTGCACTGACAGCCGTGATTAGCCGAGAGTAGCCGAGAGTAGCCGAGAGTAGCCGAGAGTAGCCGAGAGTAGCCGAGAGTAGCCGAGAGTAGCCGAGAGTAGCCGAGAGTAGCCGAGAGTAGCCGAGAGTAGCCGAGAGCACATGTGCATGTGCTGTGTGACTACTCCGCGTGGGGGGTCCCCTACCCCCGGTATAGCCGAACCCATTTCTACCCTGCCAAGAGTCGAGGTCCTCTGTCGGTCCGGGGACCCGCATGACAGGGTCACACATGCATTGGCAGGTCGCCGACGGCCGCCACGTGGGCGGGGAACAACCGCACCGCAGCCCTAGAGGCGGAAGACGCATTCTCGTGCTCCGAGTAGCGCTCGAGAGGACACGGACTCCGCCGTATTCACTGTCCTCGCACCCCTCGTACTCACGCGGTGCTCTGAAGACACTGCACAATACCGTACTCCCGCCCCGAGGCTGGCGCCTTCAGCACGGTAGGCACCGCGCTTATCCGCGTCCCCGACGAGCACCGCATGGAGCTGCGGCTCGACACGGACAGGAGCGCGAAGCCGAACCCACCGACTCACCAGCCGACAGTGGGCTACCTCCCAATAGGCTGGCCGACATGAGCGCCAATCCGTACCTGATGGCGGCCGCCATCGGCGCGGCCGGCCTCGACGGCCTGCGAGCGCGGAGTGTGCCGCCGCCGCCGACGGATCGCAAGCCTAGACTACCCGAGATTACCCGAGATTACCCGAGATTACCCGAGAGTACCCGAGATTGCCCGAGATTGGCCGAGACTACCCGAGATTACCCGACGGACCACACGCCTAGAGTTACCCGAGATTGCCCGAGATTACCCGAGATTGCCCGAGATTACCCGAGCCTCCCTGGTGTGCAGGACCGCAACATGTACGACGCCTCCGATCCGGTCGTCGCCGCCGCCATCAAGGCCGCCGCCCCCCCTTCTCCCCCCCGCCACTCATCACTCACCCACAGCCACAGTTGCATTACACTTCTGCATTTTGCATTCACACGTGCATGACATGATTTACTGCGGTGCCCCTCTGTCGCGAGGGCTGCCCGGCCCTTGCCCCACCACCTTGCGCGTGTGGAAGAGTTGACCTTGCCCCACCTCAGGCCTCCCCGCCGCTGCCGAGCAACCTGGCCGGCGCGCTCGAGGCGCTCGATGCCTCGAGCCCGCTCCGGTCGGGCCTGGGCGACGCTTTCGTGGACAGCTACCTCAAGTTGCGCCGGGCGCACTGGGCCGAGTACATGGCGCAGCTCACGCCGTGGGAGCTGGAGACGTATCTCGACGCCTAGAGCGATCTCGGGTGATCTCGAGTGATCTCGATCTCGGCGTCGCTGGGGGACGACCGCTCACTTAAGTATAAAAGACACGCGCCGGCAGTCCAGACCCCAACGCGTACAATTGCTACGGTAGAGGGCGTCAACCGTCATGTACTCTTCTTGGTTTGTTTCAAATAAAAAGACCGCCACATACACTGAAAAAGACGCCCCCCGCCCCCCCCCCCCCTCTTACCGTATATCATGTATCATGTATCGCGCCTTGCAGGGGGGGGCGCGGAAAAGAGGAACCTCTTAAGCGCCATCGCCATGGTGCTGCAACGAATCGTTGGCAACGTGCAAGCAGCGCCGAGCGACGACGACTTACTTACCGCCTCCCGGTTCTCCCCCTCGGCACTGGCGAGGTACTTCCAGCCTGCTGTGGGAACAGCTGAGGAGACGCAGTCTCGCCGAGGCTCGCCCCAGGTTGACTCGGCCAGACAAAAACCCCGAGACTCGGCACACCTCGCAGTCTCGCCAGCCTCGGCAACCTTGTTGTGTCTCGCGCCTTGCGGGGGGGGGGAGCGGAAAGGAGGAACCTCTTCCCAAGAGCACCACTCTTGGAGCGCCGCCACTACCACCCAGAGCGCTGCAAGCAGCGCCGGGCAATGACGGCTTACCGCCCACCCAGCCCCCCCTCGGCACACCCCGGCAGCCAATGTGTGACGGCTCGAACCCGCTAAGCCATCCCGCAAGCGGGATGGCCCGCCACTCGAACCCGCAAGCGGGCGTACGAACCGCGAGCGGCTCACACTCGTGACACGCAGGCGTCCGCCAGACGGCGCCGGGGAAGAGGAACTACGGCAAGAACCGCACACCACCCGCTGACGAGCGCTCGCGGAACTGGTCCGCGGCGCCCGCCAGGGGCGTGCGCGAGACAGGGCTCGGAGCCCTTTTCTGTGAGCAGGGATTCCCTCCCGGCGGGGGTTGTGGCGGAGAGCCGGCATGGGAATCGCCGGCCCCCACCCAGGGGGTGCCCCTGCCAGGCGCCGCAAGCGGTGCCCGACCGGGGCGGGTGCCCCCACCCCGAGGGGTGGGGGCGGGGGCGGGGCCCAACGTGATTCGGCCTATCGCCTCGGCAAGGTCCTCGGTGCGATTCTCCACGGTGTCGTCGAGCGAAAGCGCGGTAGCCGCGGAGGTGATGACGTCGACATCGGTGGAATCGGCTGGGTCAACGTCAATGTCGATAGCTCTTTCACGCCGGATCCCCTTGTTGTCTCCGATGTGTCGCGCCTGCGCGCTCGGCGTGTATGAAATCCATATCACCCCCTGCTCCACGATGGGAGCTTTAGGCGACGAGGGCGGGGCGCTCGCGGTTCGCGAATCCGCTGTGTTATTTTTGACGACTCGAACCCGAAGCTTCCCCGTGCGCGGCCCCGGCCTCGACCTCCTTTTGCCAGTCCCGTGGGAAGCCATGCTGATCGGCGACTTGCCGCTCGTGCTCCTCGAGCATATTTTGCTGAGCCTCAGCGCCGCGGAGCTGGCCCGCGTGGTGACGGCGGGTCGTTGCTTCCGCGACGCATTGCCTGGCGTCGTGCAATTCCAAGCGACGCAACTCGGCGTGCTACTCCCTGGAACACGCGCTTCGCTAACGCGCTGGCTCAAGCGCATCACGGGTGAGGTGGTGCGCGTGCACGCCCTGCTCCTCGAGCTGCGCGAGCTCGCAGTACTGCATGAAGGGCGTACAATGCACGAAGACGAGCTGCGCCGGATGCATGTCACTGTGATTGACGCCCAGATGCCAGCTCTCTTGCAGCTGGTGAGCTCAGCGCCGGGCGAGGGTGGCGCTACAAGGGCAGGGCAAATAGTGGTGCTCTCGCTCCTGGGGAAACGGGCGCGTCCACAGCAGCTCACCGCGTTCGTAGCGGCATGCGTTCGATGGATCATGGCGGAAAGCACCTTGTACTACAGTATCCACAATTACGTAGACACAGGAGCCGCACAAGCGTCCGTGGCGATCCTGCTCAAAGTCCCCGCCGAGGCCATCGTCCCCTTCGCGCCGGCCTTGGCGGCGCTCCTCGATCAGGCCGAAGTGGATGCGCCCGCGAAAGCTGGCCGAAGTCTGTTCACCGAGTCGATTATGGTCATGCTCTCCAAGCTCCCTCCGAGCGCGCTCGTGCCACACGCCGCCTCCCTGCCGCGCTGGCTCAGCCGGCCACCGCAGGTCTGGGAGGGGCAGGCGGCCATCCTCCGCCCATGCCTCACCGCGCTCATGAAGCTGCCGCCCGAGATGCTCGTCGAGCACCTGCCCGCGCTTGAGCGGCCGCGCTGGCCGCCGTCAAAGCTGCTGATCAACAAGGTGCGCCGCGCCACCGGACGACCGCGGGTCTCTTGGGATTGACCAATCACCGCCTGCAAAGGACGCGATGGCAACCCGCCGCAACGTACGTGATTTTTCGTCTTCCGGGCGGCGATGAGCGGGGTTGAACACTAAGGAGGCTTCGTCCTTTATGGTCCGACGGTGGTGTGATGCCGTTGTACACCACTAGCACGGGGCCAGCGGTGTCCCCATTGAAACTCTGCGCAGACACCCCGTCTGCGTTGAAGTGCAGGCGCGTGCATGGGGCGACCGCTCGGCCCAACCGCTCCTTCCATTAGAGGGCGCCGCGCCGATGTTGCCAGATCTCTTACACCGCATGTAGAAGAAGAGGTCGATCTCCTCAGCCAGCCTCGGGGTCCTCGCCGGCATCAAGCGCCGCGTCCTGCTTGCGGAGTGAGAGCTGCTTGAAGGGCATAATTAGAATTTACAACAAAACTCCCTCGCACGACACTGGGGACTGGGCACGGGACTGGCGCGCACTGGCACTAACACAGGTACACCACGGGAGCCGCCTAAGCGACTCCTGCGAGGGCGGCGAGGCACTTAGCACGTATTTAGAATAACACGTGGGGTGCGGCGAGGTGCATGCACACTGCGAGCACATGGCGAGGAGAAGATCCAGCCCTCCGGGTCGGGTCGGGTGGGAGAGGCAGAGGGGCTTAGGGGGGCCCTAGGGAGGGCCGGATTTTTTTAACCTTTTAAGAAATGAGGAGATTGGGGGCTTAAATTGCCATTTAAGAAAATGCAGGCACGGGGGGTCACTATTTTAAGACCGTGGTTAAGAAAATCCTTAGGGGACCCCTAGGCTTAAAAGGGTGGGCCCTGGGGCGCCTGCGGCTTAAACGGCTTAAAACTTGCCTAGGCAAGTTTTAAGAGCTGCTGGGCCGCCGATTCCTTAAACGGTCTTAAACGGTCAAACGACTCGGCAGCCTCCCCGCGCCCTTAAACGCGATCACACCATGAATGGTCTATACTCAAAACTTGCCGACGGGCGGCAAAAGCTCTTCGCTCGGCCCCGAGAGCGCTTCGCTCTCTGCCGCCCGCCCGCCCGCTCGCTCGCCCGCCCGCCCGCCAGCCTCCCCGCGCTTAAACGCTCTAAATGGCTCAAATGGCTCAGGTTGGGCGCGGTGTGCGATTCTCTTAAATGGTCTCTTAAATGGGAGCGGCAGCATGGGCCCAATCTCTTAAACGCACCGAGGCGGCTCTGGAGCCGCCAATCTCTTAAAAGGTCTTAAAAAAATCCGGCCCTCAGAACCCTAGGGGTCCCCTAAGAGAAAATCGGCCTCGCATCTGGCTCCAACGTGGACACGCCCATAGCTGGGGACACTACTAGGTCACGCATGGCATCACAGAAGTTTTATCTCTGGGCCCCGAAAGGCATCTCTAGCAGTGTCGTTACACATGCCCCCTCCCCTCCTGGGCGCATGCGCCTCACGTCTCGCCAGAGCATAAGCCCTTGGCGTGTGGCGAGACGAGTTTTTCGCCATCGCAGCGAGCAGCAAGCCGCCCGCCGCAAACAGCCGGAGGCTCTCTCTCTCTCTCTCTCTCTCTCTCTCTCTCTCTCTCTCTCTGTGCCATTTGTAGTCCCAGTCCGAGCCAGTCTGCTGTGAGAGGGGCTTGTATAGTAAAATTCCTTTCCCGCTCTCTTTCGGCCCCATGCACCCCAAGCACGCTCCCACCAGCACGCTGCTTCTCCCCACCCGCGACGGCCTGCACGAGCTGCACGTGGCCGAGTACGGCGCGCCGGGCGGCACGCCCATCGTCTACCTCCACGGCGGCCCGGGTGGCGGCACTCCTCCCGACGTGCCGCGGCTGTTCGACCCGGCCGTCTTCCGGCTCGTCACCTTTGACCAGCGCGGGTGCGGCCGCTCGCGGTGCGCCGACCGGCTGCTCGCCAACACCACGGCCCTGCTCATCGACGACGTCGAGGCCGTCCGCTGCCGCCTCGGGATCGAGCGCTGGGCCGTGTTTGGCAGCTCGTACGGCTCGCTGCTGGTGGCGCTGTACGCGGCGCGGCACAGCGCGCGCGTCACGTTCGCTATCGCGCACGGCGTCTTCCTCGGCACGCGCGCCGAGGTTGGCTGGCTCTACGAGGCCCCCGGCGCCTCGCGCTTCTACCCGGACCAGTGAGACGACCTGCTCCGCGCAAGAGTGCACGAGATTGCACGAGATTACACGAGATTACACGAGATTAGGTGGGAGGACCTGCTCCGCGCGAGCGGCGGCGCGGGCGCGGGCGCGGCGGCGGCGGCGGCGGCGGGGGCGGCGGCGGCGGACGGGCTCGCCGCGCCGGTGCTCGTCTCGCGCTGCCACGCGCTGCTCACCGACCCCGCCGTCAGCCGCGAGCACCCGCCGCCGCCAGGCAGTGTGCCGCCTGAGGGTGCGCTCGCTGCGGCCGCCGCGCTGACGCGGTGCGAGGGCGAGATGGAGCGAGATGGAAGCGGCGGGACTTGCGTTGTTGTCGGTGGAGACGAGAGGCGATGGCGCACAGGAGGGAGGGCGAGGTGGAGCTGCGGGAGTTTGCATGGCGGTGGAGACGAGAGGCTGTGGCGCAGGCGGGAGGGCGAGGTGGAGCTGCGGGCCTCTCGCGATCGACACTCGCGGTGGAATGCAACATGGTCACAACAGAACAAGCACACACACGACAACAACGGGTCGGAGGGAGAGACGAGGCGCCGCGCCTCTTCTCACCCAGATGACCGTGAGAAGAGGCGGCCCAGATGACATCACCTCTTCTCACCCAGATGACCGTGGGGTGGCCTCTCACGTGATGTGATAAGGAGACCCGTGCCACCGATGCGCAACGATTGCGAGCATGGTAGGTGGGAGGACGAGATGGAGACGCTTGCGCCGTCGCCGGCATCGCACGACGCCGCGGAGCGAGGGGCGATCTCGGCGGATCTCGTCTCATCTCGGCGCCTCTCGGCGCCTCTAGGCGTCGCACGACGCGGCGGAGCTCGTCGCCGGCGCGCAGATCGCGCTCCACTTCTTTCAGCACGGCTGCCACCTGTCCGGCCTCGCCCAGGGCCGCCGCGGCGAGGGCGGAGGCGGCGGCGATGGCGGTGGTGACAGCGGCGAGGGCGGAGGCGGCGGCGATGGCGGTGGTGACAGCGGCGATGGCGGCGGCGGCGGCGGCGGCGGTGGCGGCGGTGATGAGGCGGCGGGAGCGTCGGGGCGCGAGTACGTGTGTGACGGGATCTTGGGCGAGGTAGGGAGGGCGTCTGGGGCGCTGCGAGGGGTGGCTTGCGCCTTGCTGCACGGCCAGACGGAGGGGTGTGAACGGCGTCTCTTCACGGCGGGCAGGCTGTGAACAGGTGCTGTGCGCACACATTCCCACACCGCTCGCCCACGCGCACTGGGCCTCGCACTTTGAATGCCGTGGGGCGCCTGTCTTTTAGACGTGGAGTCGCGAGGGACTAGCCCGGCCCTTGCCCCACCACCTTCTGTGTGCGGAGAAGTGTCCCTGACCTGACCTGACCTCACCTGACCTAGGTGCCATGCTCCATCCTGCACGGGAGACACGACGTGGTCTGCCCGCCGCAGGCGGCCAGCAGTGACTGAGACGGACACCTCTCACTCGTAGAGATGGGTGAAGCGGAGCGCTCTCCCCGCCCTCGCGTCGAGCCCATGCGTCGAGCCCATGCGGTCTGCAGAGTAGCGGCGAGCGGCATTGTCAATGACGGTGATGATCGTGATGGCGATGAGAATGACGACGCATGGTGATAGGAAGAATGAGTGCGGCATAATCAAACACGTGATAGCAGGCGGCGAGCCGGCTGCGCGCCGCCTGGCCGGGCTCGACGCTGAGGATTGTCGAGGGGGGCGCGCACGCGCTGTTCGAGAAGCCGATGCGGAGCGCGGCGATGGCGGCGCTGGCGGAGCACCAGGCCGCCTTGGGTGTGCACAGCAGCGGCTGCGGGCAGTCCAAGCGCCGGCGGATGGATCGGAGAGCGGGATGACGCCCGGCCCTCAAAGCGCACTCAGGAGCGCACACGTACGTGGAGGATAGCAAGCGGATTTCCGAGACCGCGTAGAGCGTACAGGACCAGGAGGCAGAAGTGAGAAGATGCAAAGGTAGATAGCAAGGAAGGCGAAGAACAGCCAGGCTCGGATTGGACACCAACGCGATAAGGCCATGTTCCATACCCCGCCTTTCCCTCCAGAACCCGCCGAGCTCGTCGTGTCGCCTCACTGGGTACCTCCCCTGTCCTCTCGAGCACACACACACACACACTCACACTCCTCTCGAGGACTCGACTCTGGTTCCCTCTATGTTGCTCTTAGCTCTTTTACTTTTTTTGAGAGCGCATTCGTTGTTAATAATACAAACCCTGGGCCGAGCGTTTTTGATCTCTCGGTAAGTGGGCGCCCGCCCGCCGCCTCTGAGGGGGTCGGGCCCCCTAGACTGAAAACAAAAACAAGCTCGAAAACAGCCAAAATCAGCCTGCGAGAGAGGCACGCAAGAATTTAAGACGAGGTGCGAGTCAGAGTGGGACTCCACACAAGTACAAGTACCAATCAACATGACTGTATCAAACATCTCCGTCCAAGGGAGATGTGCGAGTCTGTACCGTCCTAGACTAGTTCCGCCGCCGCGGCAGAGCTCGAACTGCGCGCGTCGCTGGGCGGGTTCGTCTTCACCGCCTCGAACGCCGTAGACCGCCGCGTGGCGCGCCTCCGACTCAAGGCGAATAAGGCGACGCCAAGGAGCGAGGCGGGTACAATAACCGTACCAAGAGGGGTCAGAGACAGCCACGGCGACGCTTTCGAGATCGCCGCGTCCTCAGCAGTGACGCGGCTGGGCGGCGACGTACAGAGCGTTCGCCCTCGCCCGTCAGGCTTGCCGCAACCGACTCCGGATCCGCCACCGCTTCGATTGCTAGGCGATCCAGCCTCCTCTCCGAGCAAGGTGAAGAGTTCTGACTTGGGCGCGCCGACCATACCGTCGCACCGGACGAATATGCCGAAGTAGCTAGTGCAGCCGGGTGGCACCGGCGGCGCAAGCGCCGGCGCCACCGGCGCCGTGCTTAGCCGCGCAGCGTCGGCTGCAGCCTTGCCCGCGAGCCTCGCAGCGTCCGGAGGATTGCCCTCGTCTACAGCCGCCTGCGTTGCTTTCGCCGCAGCCTCAGCGATTGCCGCGGCCTGCACGGGCGAGTCGCCGAGCGCCAGGGATTCGACAGCAGCCACGCTCGCCGCGATAGAGGCGTCACGACCCATGCCGGCCTCGGCGAAGGCCGAGGCTGCAGTTGAGGCCGCTGCCATGGCCACCCAGTGAGCGTCCCCAGTGTCGCTCTCGAATGTCGCCTGTGCCTCCTCGCTCGCTTCGGCGCCGGCAGTTGCCGCGGCCGTCGGCGACTTGCCCGCGATGACAGCATCACCAGCTGCCTCACCCGCAGCTTCTATGGCCTCCACCGAGAGATCTGCATTGTCCGCCTTCTGAGCGGCCGTTCCCGCTGCCGCGGCAGCCGCCTCGGCCTCCTGCGTGGACTTCCCGCGCGATAAGGCCTTGTCTGCCACTTTCGCCGCCACTGCGGCCGCCTCTGGCGACCGCGCGTGCGTCAACCTCGCGGCCCACCTTGCGGCCTCTGGTGAGGACCCCTCATCGAGAACCGCCTGAGCCGCCTCGGCAGCAATCGCACCCTCTCTTGCTGCTGTCAACGGATTCTTCTTTGTGCAGATTGCGGTGCCAGCCGCCTCGGCCGCGGCGTCGGCTGACACAGCAGTGGCTCCAACTTCGGTCGCATGCTGGTGAGCCAAAGCAGCATAAGCTCCTGCAGCTGCCGCATCCCCAATGCAACACGCAGCGGCCGCGACGGCGGCAGCATTGGCTGCTTCAAAAGAGAAGCCGCTGTTGAGAGCAGCAACCTTTGCCTTCTTCTCGGCTTCAGAACAGCCTCCGGCCGCCTTGTCCGTGCCGGGCACCGCATCGATAATGACATCGGTAGAGGCCAGAGCGGTCTGTGAGGCCTCTGCAGCAGCAGCGCCATCCGCAGCAGCGGCCAGTTTCGACCTGCCGGTGAGAATTGCCTGGGCTGCAGCCTCGCCAGCTGCCTGCACAGCGGATACCGAAGCCCCGGCAGCGGTGGCACACATCAGGTCGTCGTCGAGCGCCTTCTCCACGGCGTCTGCGGCAGCCTCCGCCGCCTCGGCCGCCTCCTCGGGCGTCAGGCCCTTCTCCAGCGCGTCGGCGGCGGCCTCCGCAGCCGCATCGGCCGCCTCAGGCGACAGGTCATCGTCGAGCGCCTTCTCCACGGCGTCGGCGGCAGCCTCCGCCGCCTCGGCCGCCTCCTCGGGCGTCAGGCCCTTCTCCAGCGCGTCAGCGGCGGCCTCCGCAGCCGCATCGGCCGCCTCAGGCGACAGGTCGTCGTCGAGCGCCTTCGCCACGGCGTCGGCGGCAGCCTCCGCCGCCTCCGCCGCCTCCTCGGGCGTCAGGCCCTTCTCCAGCGCGTCGGCGGCGGCCTCCGCAGCCGCGTCTGCCGCCTCAGGCGACAGGTCGTCGTCGAGCGCCTTCTCCACGGCGTCTGCGGCAGCCTCCGCCGCCTCGGCCGCCTCCTCGGGCGTCAGGCCCTTCTCCAGCGCGTCAGCGGCGGCCTCCGCAGCCGCATCGGCCGCCTCAGGCGACAGGTCATCGTCGAGCGCCTTCTCCACGGCGTCGGCGGCAGCCTCCGCCGCCTCGGCCGCCTCCTCGGGCGTCAGGCCCTTCTCCAGCGCGTCAGCGGCGGCCTCCGCAGCCGCATCGGCCGCCTCAGGCGACAGGTCGTCGTCGAGCGCCTTCGCCACGGCGTCTGCGGCAGCCTCCGCCGCCTCGGCCGCCTCCTCGGGCGTCAGGCCCTTCTCCAGCGCGTCGGTGGCAGCCTCTGCAGCCGCATCGGCCGCCTCAGGCGACAGGTCATCGTCGAGCGCCTTCTCCACGGCGTCTGCGGCAGCCTCCGCCGCCTCGGCCGCCTCCTCGGGCGTCAGGCCCTTCTCCAGCGCGTCGGCGGCAGCCTCTGCAGCCGCATCGGCCGCCTCAGGCGACAGGTCATCGTCGAGCGCCTTCTCCACGGCGTCGGCGGCAGCCTCCGCCGCCTCGGCCGCCTCCTCGGGCGTCAGGCCCTTCTCCAGCGCGTCGGCGGCAGCCTCCGCAGCCGCATCGGCCGCCTCAGGCGACAGGTCGTCGTCGAGCGCCTTCTCCACGGCGTCGGCGGCAGCCTCCGCCGCCTCGGCCGCCTCCTCGGGCGTCAGGCCCTTCTCCAGCGCGTCGGTGGCAGCCTCTGCAGCCGCATCGGCCGCCTCAGGCGACAGGTCATCGTCGAGCGCCTTCTCCACGGCGTCTGCGGCAGCCTCCGCCGCCTCGGCCGCCTCCTCGGGCGTCATGCCCTTGGCAATCGCATCGGCAGCAGCCTCCGTAGCAGCGTCTGCGACCTCTTCAGCCACGCCCTCCTTGCACACGGTAAAGCTGTCCTCTCCGAGGGGCACGGTCAGCTCCTCCTTCCATGTTGGGTTAGCCGCCTGGCACTCTGCCGTGTCGCAGGACGCCTTAGCCGAGTAGGTCGCGGTGTAGGCGTTCCCGTCGGAGACCGCCGACCAGCTCGAGTACCGGAAGTCGTAAGGCTCCACGTAGCCGTTGTCCTCCAGGAGCTTGCTGAGCTTGGCCTCGCCGTCAGCCAGGTGAGACTCGTCCTTGATCCACGCATTCATGGTCTCCTTCATCTTCGCAATGGTCACGCACTCCGGAAGCGCCTTCTCCGCGGCGTCGGCGGCAGCCTCAGCTAGGGCGGCGGCTTCTTCGGGCGTCATGCCCTTGGCAATCGCATCAGCAGCGGCCTCTCCCGCCGCGTCTGCCGCCTCAGGCGACAGGTCGTCGTCGAGCGCCTTCTCCACGGCGTCGGCGGCAGCCTCCGCCGCCTCGGCCGCCTCCTCGGGCGTCAGGCCCTTCTCCAGCGCGTCGGTGGCAGCCTCTGCAGCCGCATCGGCCGCCTCAGGCGACAGGTCATCGTCGAGCGCCTTCTCCACGGCGTCTGCGGCAGCCTCCGCCGCCTCGGCCGCCTCCTCGGGCGTCAGGCCCTTCTCCAGCGCGTCGGCGGCGGCCTCCGCAGCCGCATCGGCCGCCTCAGGCGACAGGTCGTCGTCGAGCGCCTTCTCCACGGCGTCTGCGGCAGCCTCCGCCGCCTCGGCCGCCTCCTCGGGCGTCAGGCCCTTCTCCAGCGCGTCGGTGGCAGCCTCCGCAGCCGCATCGGCCGCCTCAGGCGACAGGTCGTCGTCGAGCGCCTTCTCCACGGCGTCTGCGGCAGCCTCCGCCGCCTCGGCCGCCTCCTCGGGCGTCAGGCCCTTCTCCAGCGCGTCGGCGGCAGCCTCCGCAGCCGCATCGGCCGCCTCAGGCGACAGGTCATCGTCGAGCGCCTTCTCCACGGCGTCTGCGGCAGCCTCCGCCGCCTCGGCCGCCTCCTCGGGCGTCAGGCCCTTCTCCAGCGCGTCGGCGGCAGCCTCCGCAGCCGCATCGGCCGCCTCAGGCGACAGGTCATCGTCGAGCGCCTTCTCCACGGCGTCTGCGGCAGCCTCCGCCGCCTCGGCCGCCTCCTCGGGCGTCAGGCCCTTCTCCAGCGCGTCGGCGGCGGCCTCCGCAGCCGCGTCTGCCGCCTCAGGCGACAGGTCATCGTCGAGCGCCTTCTCCACGGCGTCTGCGGCAGCCTCCGCCGCCTCGGCCGCCTCCTCGGGCGTCAGGCCCTTTTCCAGCGCGTCGGCGGCAGCCTCCGCAGCCGCATCGGCCGCCTCAGGCGACAGGTCGTCGTCGAGCGCCTTCTCCACGGCGTCTGCGGCAGCCTCCGCCGCCTCGGCCGCCTCCTCGGGCGTCAGGCCCTTCTCCAGCGCGTCGGTGGCAGCCTCTGCAGCCGCATCGGCCGCCTCAGGCGACAAGTCGTCGTCGAGCGCCTTCTCCACGGCGTCTGCGGCAGCCTCCGCCGCCTCGGCCGCCTCCTCGGGCGTCAGGCCCTTCTCCAGCGCGTCGGTGGCAGCCTCCGCAGCCGCATCGGCCGCCTCAGGCGACAAGTCGTCGTCGAGCGCCTTCTCCACGGCGTCGGCGGCAGCCTCCGCCGCCTCGGCCGCCTCCTCGGGCGTCAGGCCCTTCTCCAGCGCGTCGGTGGCAGCCTCTGCAGCCGCATCGGCCGCCTCAGGCGACAGGTCATCGTCGAGCGCCTTCTCCACGGCGTCGGCGGCAGCCTCCGCCGCCTCGGCCGCCTCCTCGGGCGTCATGCCCTTGGCAATCGCATCGGCAGCAGCCTCCGTAGCAGCGTCTGCGACCTCTTCAGCCACGCCCTCCTTGCACACGGTAAAGCTGTCCTCTCCGAGGGGCACGGTCAGCTCCTCCTTCCATGTTGGGTTAGCCGCCTGGCACTCTGCCGTGTCGCAGGACGCCTTAGCCGAGTAGGTCGCGGTGTAGGCGTTCCCGTCGGAGACCGCCGACCAGCTCGAGTACCGGAAGTCGTAAGGCTCCACGTAGCCGTTGTCCTCCAGGAGCTTGCTGAGCTTGGCCTCGCCGTCAGCCAGGTGAGACTCGTCCTTGATCCACGCATTCATGGTCTCCTTCATCTTCGCAATGGTCACGCACTCCGGAAGCGCCTTCTCCGCGGCGTCGGCGGCAGCCTCGGCTAGGGCGGCGGCTTCTTCGGGCGTCAGGCCCTTGGCAATCGCATCAGCAGCGGCCTCTCCCGCCGCGTCTGCCGCCTCAGGCGACAGGTCGTCGTCGAGCGCCTTCTCCACGGCGTCGGCGGCAGCCTCCGCCGCCTCGGCCGCCTCCTCGGGCGTCAGGCCCTTCTCCAGCGCGTCGGTGGCAGCCTCTGCAGCCGCATCGGCCGCCTCAGGCGACAGGTCGTCGTCGAGCGCCTTCTCCACGGCGTCTGCGGCAGCCTCCGCCGCCTCGGCCGCCTCCTCGGGCGTCAGGCCCTTCTCCAGCGCGTCGGCGGCAGCCTCCGCAGCCGCTCGGGCGAGTAGCCCTCGATGATGGCGTCGCCTGCTGCCTCGCCCGCCGCGGCGACCGCTTCAGGCGAGAGGCCCTCGTCAAGCGCCTTCTGAGCCGCCTTGCCTGCAGCCTCGGCCGCGGCTGCTGCCTCCTCTCGCGTCTTGCCGGCGATGATGGCGTCGCCCGCCGCCTCACCTGCCGCAGCCGCAGCCTCGGGCGAAAGGCCGTCGTCGAGCGCCTTCTGGGCCGCCATGCCGGCAGCATCTCCTGCTGCAGCCGCCACCTCGGGCGACAAGCCCTCGCCAATGGCATCGCCTGCGGCCTTGCCCGCTGCAGCAGCAGCGTTGGGCGAGAGGCCCGCGTCGAGGGCAGCCTGGGCCGCCTTGCCGGCAGCCTCTCCAGCAGCAGCCGCCGTCTCCGGGTCCTCGCCGGCGATGATGGCGTCGCCTGCGGCCTGGCCCGCCGCAGCAGCGGCCTCGGGCGAGAGGCCCGCGTCGAGAGCTGCCTGAGCCGCCTCACCCGCTGCCTTGGCGGCGGCTGCCGCCTCCTCCGGGCTCTTGCCCTCTGCGATGGCCTTTGCAGCCGCCGCCGCCGCGGCCTCGGCAGCCTCGGGCGAGAGGCCGGCGTCGAGGGCAGCCTGTGCCGCAGCTGCGGCGGCCTTTGCCTCCTTGGCCGCCTCGTCAGCGGTCTTTCCGTCCTCCATGGCGACCGCACGAGCATCCGCCGCTGCCTTGGCAGCCTCCGAAGACATGCCAGCATCGACTTCGGCCTGCTCCTCGTCCGCGGCAGTGGCCGCGGCGGCCGCCGCGTCCTCGGCACTCGCCCCGTTGCTCAGCGCTTCCGCCGCGACCTCGGCGGCCTCCTTTGCCGCCTCGACAGAGTGCCCCTCGTTGAGGGCTGCCTGCGCAGCCTCACCGGCACCCTTCGCGATTTCTGCGGCCTCCTCAGGGGACTTGCCGTCGATGATGGCCTGACCAGCCGCCTCTGCCGCAAGCTCAGCCGCCTCAGGCGCAAGGCCTTCGTCGATGGCGTCGTCGTACGCCTTTGCTGCGGCGGCGCCGGCGGCGGCGGCTTCCTCAGCCGTTTTGCCGGCGAGGATAGCTTTGGCCGCCGCATCTCCGGCCTGATCAGCCGCTTCAGGCGAGAGGCCATCATTAAGCGCCGCCTGCGCGGCCTTACCTGCGGCATCGCCAGCGGCTGCCGCCTCCTCGGGCGTCTTGCCGTCGATGATGGCATCTCCAGCAGCATCGCCCGCTTCCGCTGCAGCCCCAGCCGAGAGGCCGTCGTCGAGCGCCTTCTGCGTAGCCTTGCCTGCGGCCTGGCGTGGCAGACGGTGAACGAGCTAGCGTGCGGGGAGAGCGGCATTGTGCATGGTGCGGAGTGCATTGCCGTTCTTAACGGAGTCGCTTAGGCGGCTCCGGTGGTGAGCCTGTGTGTGTGCCAGTCCGCGCCAGTCTGCGCCCTTGTCGTGCCAGTGTGCTGTGAGAGAGGCTTGTATCCTAAGAATTCTTTCGCGTGTGAGGGAGTACTATCGGGTCGCCATGCGCGCGCCCCAGAGCACGCCTCGCGCCACCGCTGTAAGCCGCCCGACGACCGGGCTACACGCCGGCGCAACTTCTCCATCCGAGGGCGTCGAGCTGGGGACAGGGTGTGGGGTCGGTCGATCGGAGAGCGCGCCGGGCCCTCGCCGCGATTCAGAGCCGCGAGGCTACACAAGGCTCCTCGCGGATAAGCGCGAGGGCGTCTGGCTGACGGAGCGCAACCCAGGCCGGCAGGCTCCAGCAGGTGGGCGCGCTAATGCATTCGCGGACCGCAAGGGCCCAGGAGCAGCGTCGCATGCGCTGCGGCGTGCTGTCTCTGCGGGGGATGCTGATGCTGCCGCCGTCGCGAGGCTGCCGCCGTCGGCGTTCCGCCGCCGGAGGGCGCACGAGCTGCTGCTTCGCGGCGAGCCGGTTGCTCTCGCGCTGGCGGTGGGCGCCCTCTCCCTCGCATTCTTCGGCGGGCTCTCGTACCTCCTCTTCTCGCGCTTCCCGCAGTACTTTGTCTACGTCCAGATCGCAGCCTTCATCCTTGGAGGCTCTGGCCTGCCCTGGCTCTTCCACGGACTGCACGGGCCAACTGGCGGCGCGCTCCCTCTCCTCTCCTCCCCTCTCCTCTCCTCTCCTCTCCTCTCCTCGCCTCGCCACTCCTCTCCTCTCCTCTCCTCTCCTCTCCTCTCCTCACACCCTGTGCGAACTGCTCTCCCGCTCGCGCGAGTAGGCGCCGTCGACTTTTGGGCGTCGGGGCTGCTGCTGCTGCTGGCGGGGGCGGCCGCCGCAGGGTGCCCGCGCCTTTGCGCGCGGGCGCTGCGGCTGCGCGGCGCTTCCTCCGCCGGCGACGATGGTTCGGGTGGAAGGAGTGGGCGGGAGCTCTCTGGCAGCCTTCTCGGGGCCTGTTTGTAGGGGAGGCGCACCAGCGCGACGCTACGATGCTGCTGTGCGGGATGCAGGAAGAGAACGCCGGGAGAGGACACTCCCTCCAGAGGGGCGGAGTCGCCGACAGGGGTTTGCAGGGGGAGGGGGGGGGGGAGCCCGGCCCGGGGGGGAGGGGGGGGGGGGTCACTTCTCCTCTTGCTGCCGCGCCCCGCCGCCCCTTCTGACGCCAGCCGCGCCTCCCGCGCCAGGCCGTTGCGCTCGGTCTGGGCTTGCTATGGGAGGGCGCGACGCTTCCGCCGCCTCACGCGCCGTGAGCGACCAAGAGATGCCGCAACCGCTTTCTACGCCTTGCCGCCAGCTGGAGATAGCCGAGGTCGGGGCGAGGATGGAGGGCACGGGCCACTCTCGCCCGCCCTCGCACCGCCGCTTGAGCTCTGCTGCCCTCGGCCAGGTTCGAGCCGCCCCACTTCGCAACCGAGCCGCAACTCGCGCGCGTGATGCTCGCCGCCGGCTGGACGGTCGCGCTGGTCGTGCTCCGCTTCCTCGCCGCACGCGCGCCGCTGCTCGGCATCGAGGTGAGGCCAGAGACCCGCCCGACCCCCCGCCCACCACGCCGCTTCGACCCGCCTTCGACCGGCCGCCGCCTCGGCCGCTACCACCCCTCGGCCTCAGCCGCTGGTATCACCCGCCCAGCCGCCCTGCCGCCCACTGCGCCCACGCCTCTGCCGCCCTCGGACAGGCTCAACTGCCGCTCGGCCTGCTCAGCGTGCTATGCGCCCTGCTAGCGCTGATGCCCCTCTCCCTGCTCGTTGGTGAGCTGCTCTAGCGTCGAGGGCTCTGCACGTGGACGTGCAGGCATGCTGCCATTGCTGGCCCCGAGTGTCAGTGAGAGAGTGATCGTTGATCGAGCATCGACACTCTTGTGTATATCGCGTTCTTGTCACTATCTTGAGACCTGTGGATACTCGACGAGGGAAAAATCGTAACGAATACAACACGTCGGCCTAGATGGTCGCCTCTTTCTCGCAGCAGAGCCGGTGCCGGTGCCGATGCGGCGCGATGGCGGTGCGCTTGGGCCAGGTACCAATTTTGTCGAATTTATTTCAAAATCTGCAGGCGCGGAGCGCCTGCGAAAATTTTGAAGAAATTTGCAGTCGGGCCTGATTTTCATCAGGATCTTTCAAATTTGCGGTGTGGAGTTGGGGGGTGGGTTAGGTTAGGGTTATTAGGGTTAGAGGGTTAGGGTTAGGGTTAGGGTTAGGGTTAGGGTCAGGGTTGTCTGGTTGTGTCTGTATATGCCAGCGTTGCAGGGTTCTGCGCTGGGATCTGGCCCCACAGCGCCGACGACTAAGACTCAGCCCCACACGCTGACCTAGGGTTAGGGTTAGGGTTAGGGTTAGGGTTAGGGTTAGTCTTCTTGTGTTTGTATGCCAGCGTTGCAGAGTTCTGCGCTGGGATCTGGCCCCAGCGCCGACGAGTAAGACTCAGCACCGCACGCTGACCCCACCAAATGCCGCCTCAGGGCGCCAGGCCGCCAGCCACTTCTTACACGCGGCCGGCGCCCTCTCGCGGCAAAAGGGTCGAGCGAGCGGGCAGAGTCGCGATGTCTGCGCACCCGCGTGCCGATGGGCGGCACACGCAACCGAGAGAGGCCCTGTCGCGCCGCCAGTAGCGTTCTCCGCACTCCCCACGCCACCAATTGCCGCCTCAGGGCGCCAGCCACCTCTTACACGCGGCCGGCGCCCTCTCGCGGCAAAAGGGTCGAGCGAGCGGGCAGAGTCGCGATGTCCCTGCGCACCTGGGTGTTCGCCGCCTATATGCTCTATCCTGTGCCAAGACGGACACATTTTGACAATCAAAATCTACCTCAAAATTTGCGGCCGCCCCTCGAAATTTGCTCATCAAAATTTGCGGTGGCCCGGATCGAAACCTGTACTTTGGCCAACGGTGCGCGCGGGAGCTCTGGGGGAGACCATGGCTGGCAGCGGAGGACCGCGGCACCTCCGCTGGCTGTCTAGCGCCGAGCACCTCTCTACTCCTCCTTTCCGCGCGGGGCGGCCGCTCCTTTGCCCCTGCCGTCCGGCCCGGATCTGCTCCGCGGCGCGTCAAACTCCGCGTTCCAGGACGGGCGGGCTTGCCGAAGCAGCAAGCGAGGAGGCGGTCGATGGAGATGGTCGGCGCCGCGTAGTGCGACGTGAGTCTCCGGTGGTGCTCGAGGTGGTCCGCCGTCGACACAAAGAGCCACGGCACGAGCCTGGCGGAGGCGTCGGCCAGCTTTGGCGTGTGGATCAGGAGGTTGTTGAGCGAGACCACTCCGACGGCGAGGAACATCGACATGCGATCGGGCCGGAGCACCTCCGGAGGTTGGGAGGGGGAGTGAGAGGGTGGGCGGGCGAGAGAAAGGGGGGGCAGACAGGCTCAAAAGAAGAATTTTAGGAAGATCAACCTCGCACAACATCAACGAAGAAAAAGAATGCGTAAACGAGAAAAAGAAAAGGCGCAAGATATAAACTTCTCCCCCTACCCCTAGGTACGCGAGCTCGTACTTCAATAGATGTAGCAGCTGGGCTCCTCCGCCCTGCTGCAGGATAAGTACCACGTCAGCGCGGCGCCCACCAGGGCGCCGGCTGCGGCAGCTGCACCTCCGACGACCATCGGAGAGGGAGAGGCGCCGGAGGCGGACGGGTCTCCCTTGTCCAGCTGCCGCTTCCGCATCCCGCTCTCCGTCAGCGACAGCCCTCGCGAGCCGCTCGCGAGGGTCAGCAGCTTCCGGTCCCGGACCGGGATTTTGACGCTCCCCAGCATCTTGGGCACCACGACGCGCAGGACGCCATTCTCCGTCGTTGCCTCGATCGCCGACACGTCGATCATCGACAGCGACGAGGGCAGGCAGATATCGTGCGAGACGGTCCGTGTCTCGACCAGCTTCTCCTTGTCCCCGCTGCGCCTGTGGCCCGGGGGCGAGCCCGCGGTGAGGGCAGCGGCGAGGGCCGCGGTGAGGGCAACGGCGCGGGCGACAGTAGCGATGCCTCTTCTCCTTCTCCTTCTCCTTGCGCAGGCGCTCAACCTTGTTCCCCTCGCTGTCCACCTCCGTGTTGCCCTTCACCGAGAGGACGCCGTCCTCCAGCGACACATCCAGGTCCTCTGGATGCAACCCAGGCGCCTATACCTCGTCCGAGAAATGACGCGACGAGCAGGTGTGTCTAATGGGATAGCGGAGTTAGGCGCGGGGCACCTCGATGGTCACGGTGAAGGCGTCGGCAGAGTCCCGCTCGACCACGTCCCTCGGGCCGCCACTCTCGTCGCCCCCATAGGCGCTGCGCGGGACGATGTCGAAGGAGATGCGATCGGTGAGAAAGGTGAGCACCTATCGGGACATGTGAACGGACATCTCGTCGCGGGTGTATGCCCGTGGCGACGCGAGAGGACTGGGTCGGGGGCGAACAACTGCAGAGGGAGTAGTCGTGTCTCGCTAGAGCCCGCATCACCGTGTTCGAGAGGAAGTCGTCGATGATGCCCAGCACGAGAGCGTACAGCGTCGTGTGGAGACGCGACACCAGCGCCCGGCGGCCCTTGCCGAGGACATCGTACCACTGAGGAAAGGGGATCGCAGGCGGGAATGAGCCGCCGAGCGCCGGCAGCACAGGCGGCAGACGTGCCGATCAGAGTGTCTAGGAGAGTCGCGTGTGGATTTGTGTCTCGGCGGCGTTGCCTTGTCCTCCTCGGGCGCGGCGCCAGACTCCCTTGCGAAGCTCGCGACGGCGTCGAGGTCGAGCGGAGTCAGCGACGAAGAGAGCTTCTGCGCGCGCTCCTCCACAGAGATGCTCTTGCCGTTCTCGTCCTTGATGGCCTCGAAGCTCACGCGCACGTCATGGCCGCACACGGTGATGCGGAAGGTAGCAGCGAGCGAGTCGAGGAGGCGGAACAGAAGCTGGAGGCAGTTGATGTACAGCTTGCGCTCCACGAAATCGGGCACTAGCTTTTGGTTCACCTGCAGTGGCACGTGTTCGATCACTCTTGAGCGTGCGCTTGATGGGTGACTGCGCGCTTGTGTGGTAGCCCCGGGGGCAGCCTGCTGTTGTGCTGTGAGATTCATTGCCGGATTGGCGAGCTGCCGTTTGAAGCGGTATAGGCTATGGTGGACTGTCCATCACTCACCGCAGGATTGGCGAGCAGCCGGTCCGCAACGAGCTCCAGGCCCTAGGAGAGAAGCGAGGCGAGGTATTGTGTGTGGCTCCTCACAAGGGAATGAGTGGCGGGCGCCTAGATAAGGCTCAAGACTGCCCAGGGGCCAGGGGCATGCGGAGCATGCGTCTCAGGAGTCTCAGGAGTCTCAGGAGTGTCGGGAAGACTCTCGGGAGAGCGTCGGGTGCGTCTGAAGCGTTCACCTCGTGATGCCGCGCCACCTCGCGCACGATGCCGCTCACCGCGCCGAGCGATTCGAGCCGCCGCACGATCATCTTGTGGCCAACGACGTCCATGCCGTGCAACGAGGAGAGACCCTTGTACACGGCGTTGAGCGCAATCTTGACTGTTGACAGGTAGATTTGTTTCTCCACGCTGTCAGGGATGGACTGGATGTTGAGGTCGGCGTCGTTGAGAATCTGGGACCGCGGCGCAGTGCGGGTGTCATCGGTGGGAGAACACCCCCACGCGCACTCCACCTGAAGCGGGTGTGTGCGGTCATAGGTGTGCGGTCATCGTGAAGAGCGACCGCCGCCCGTGACTGCCGCTTGGAGGAGCGCTGGCGGCGGCGCGCAGCGCCGGGTGGAGCGTCGCGGTAGTCTATACGCCCTGTACAGGGTAGAGTCTCGCAGCCTCTCTGAAGCATTACCTCCTCCACAAACTGCTCCACCATCTCGAGCGGCACCCCGCTCGGCCACAGCGGGTTGCTCTCGCTCTTGGAGGAAGGTTCCTCCTTTGGCTCCGCGGCCGCCTCGCTCGCGGCCGACGAGCCGCTGCTGCGCCGCCCCGAGCTGCTCCTTCGGTCGCTCATACGGCTGAGTGCGGGGTGTGTGGACAAGGGAGGAAGCCGCGCGGATGATGCTAATAATGACCGTCGGAAACGAACCGTGTTTGGATTTCGGCCGTCCCTCATTCTGGAGTGATTTCACGGAGGCACAGATACAGGTGAGGAATGACGGACGTGCGATAGTTCTGCCTGGCTCCACGACACTCTGTGATCGTGCCCGAGCTTCCCGATCTTGTCAATCAATGATATTTCGTTCGACTAAAAACTAACGGACGGCTGGGCGCTTCGAGAGGGCGGTCGCCGTCGGTGCACATCGACGATCATGGCGAGCGAGCAGCCCCGCAGTGAGTGGATGCAGCCCACCGGAGGTACTGTCTGAGGTGGGGCCCGGCGCGTGAGGCTCGTTGGCGTCCGCCATCACCGCCTGCGGCCACTGCAGAGTCGGCCAAACCAGGCTCGATTTTGGCCATTTTGGCACGGACCCTTGCGGACTCTTCACAGCTGGGTCCCGGTGCACCCGGCGAGTACAATGCTGTCTTAAGGTCCGACCTGTGGGCACCGCCGCCTGCGCTTTGCACCGGGCACCCTGCAGCAGGCACCGCCTCGGTATACAAAATCTGCCCCTGCGGGCCGACCCTCACAGATCACAGATCACACAACCCCGGGCCCAGATCGCAGCACTGACAGTCGAGAACGGCACCGACAGAGAGAGATCGACGCCGTCTTCACCAACCCCGGGCCCAGATCACGCCTTTTCTTTTCTTCGCCAGTCCCGCGTGAAGTGTTGTGCGAGGGAGTTTTGTTGTCACTTGGAGCACAACTGTACTCAGTGCAGTTGGCAGCCGGGGAGCTATGAAGCGCACCCAGCGGGCCAGATGCTCGGGGACGGGCTGCGGGCTAGAGCGCCCTAGCCCTGGGCGCTGGGGGGTGCGCGTTCCGCAGGGAAGGCGCCAGGAGCACTTGGAGCACTTAGAGTGCAGTCGCTAACCTCGTCACATCCATGGCCGGGGAGCTAAGAAGCGCACCCAGCGGGCCGGATGATCGGTATCGGGTTACGGGCTAGAGAGCCCTAGCCCTGGGGGGTTGTGCGTTCGGCAGGGAGGGGCGGGCCATAAGGTAAACACGGGTCTGGGTTAGTTCTGCTGTTCGCCTGTTCGCCTTCCGAGATGGTTAGGCGACGATTGCGGGGCCCGCCTTCCCCTCTTATGCATCCTCGCGCCTTCTCTGTCTAATCCTGTTGACTCCACCGCAACCTACAGAAATTCTTTTATTCAAGTGTCCTTTGAGAGCTAGCGGTAGGGACCTGCGGCTGGCGCTGAGGTCCGTATGGAGCTCCGGGTCGCAGAGGGACCCCTCCTCGGTGACTGGGCAGCAGCGTCGGGTCCTGGCAGCACTGGATCGCATGGCGCAGGTACAACACGAGATTGTAGGTGAGGCTCCGTGGTGTGAGGAGGGATGGGCACCCCCGCGTGAATTCTTTTGTTCAATGGCCTCCGATGGAAGGTGCGCGATGGAGAGCGGGTCGGCGGAGTCCTCCTCCCTCGTGCACGACCCGCTGACCCCGTCGGCGAAAGCGCTCGAGGCGCTTGAGGCTGCACTCGCCGCCATCGCAGCTGTAGAAGCAGGCAGCTCAGCACTGCCGCCCGAGGGTGGCAACGGGCCGCCGCCCGCTACTGGAACGCAGCCACAGCCGCCGCCTGCTGCTACAGCACAGCCACAGCCGACTCAGGCAGCCGTCCCAGTTCCGGTTGGTGCTGCGAGCGGAGCGAGCAGCGATAACGCACCTCCAGCTTCTCCGCTGAGTATGACGAGCGGTTTGACGCGACCTTTGAATCCCATCGTTTGTGCCGCGGCAGTGCGCTCGTGCAGACCGCCGTGCGCGGAGCGGGCTTCCAAACCGCCTCCGCCGCCGATGCGGGCCGAGACGCACGATATCGTCGGCAGCGCAGCGGTGCGCCAGAATGGTCGCGTCCTGTCTGCATCCGAGCCGGCGGACACGTCCTCAGCTGCGGCCGCCGCGTTGACGCCGGGCGCTGCCGCGTTGACGCCGGCCGTGCCGCTCGATCCTCTGGCGATCGACGAGGTGGACGGGCTGCTTGCGGTTGGGATGCGCGTGCGCACCGCGTTTGGCGACCGAGGGACGGTCCGCTTCGTGGGCGAGCGTGCAGTTGGGAGGCCCGTTTGGCACTGCGCGCGGGCGTGAGTCGCGGCCTGCGGTTAGGCGAGACGCGGTTCCGGGAGGGGGAGTGGGTCGGCGTCGAGCTCGACGAGGCGCGCGGCAAGAACGACGGCGCAGTGCAGGCGCGGCCACCAGCGCCGCGGTCACGCGGCGAGAGGCAGAGGAGAGAGCCCCTTACGGAGCGGCGCCTGCGAGCAGGGCGTGCGCTACTTCGACTGCGCGCCGAGGCACGGCCTCTTCACGCGCCCCGACAACCTCGTCGTCGCCACGCCGCTCTCTCCGCTCGCGCCGCGCCCCGCAGCCTCCGCCGCCGCGCCGCAGCACAGCCTCCGCAGCTGGCGCGCCGCCCCTCGCCGCCCGCCCCTCGCCCGCCCGCCCCTCGCCGCCCGCACCTCGCCGCCCCTCGCCCGCCCGCCCCTCGCCCGCCCCTCGTCGTGCCTCGCGGGACGGGGCGGCGAGGCTGCAGCGCTCCGGCTGTAGGTCCGCGCCCGTGCTGGGGCAGGGAGCCGGCGGCGACGACGACGACGCGTCCCGGTCGCACGGCGGCTCCCCGTCCCGCCGCCGCCCGCCCACGGGTGGCCCGTCGCTCGCCGCCGAGGCACCGCCGACCTCCCTCCACCCCCTCTCCCTCTCCCTCCGCCCCACGCTCTCCGCCCCACTCCCTCCGCCCCACTCCCTCCGCCCCGGGCGCAGGCGTACTCGCCGTGGCCGACGCACGTCCTGCCGGCGGGCTGGAGGGAGGCGTGGCAGGGCGGCGGCGCGCACAGGGCGCCTCTGCCGCCAGGCCGGCTGCCGGTCGAGCGAGCGGGGCGGAGCGGCTCACCGCGCAAGCTCGCCTCCTCTGACGGACCGCCCGCCGAGAGAGCAGGTGCGCGTCTACGTGACCAGCACCGCCGCCGAGGCGCGCACCGCCAAGCACTGCCGCCGCGTCATCGACCTGCTCAGCGCGAAGAAGGCGCGTGCGCAGACAGAGAAGCTGGAGGAGCGGCACCGGCCCCACTGGCCTCCCACGCCGCGCCCCGCCCCCGTGCGCCGCAGGTGCCCTTCGACATCTTCGACCTTGCCGCCGACCGGGTCGGCCGAGGCGGCGTCGTCGTCGACCGCGAGGCGCTGCGCGGCTTGCTGCGGCACGAGCGGCTGCCTCGCGTCCAGGTCGGAGACGGGCCCCTCCTCGACGCGGGGCAGCTGCAGGCGGCCAACCCTGCGCTCCGCCAAGCCCCTCTCCGCCCCGCCCCTCGCCAGCGCAACCCTCCCCCGACGCCGCAGGACCTCGAGGACTTTGGCGAGCTCGACCCAAAACTGCGCGCGGTGCTACGCTCCTTTGGCACGCCCGCGGGGTAGAGACTAGAGAAACACGCCTACAAGTGCGCGCCTGGCGCGGCGGCACCTGCCTGCACGCGCGTCCTCGCCGCCGCAGGAAGAGAGGGTTATACGTAGTAAAAGAATAAGCTTGCGCCGCGTGGAGCAGAAAGACAAAACGGCAGAGCCTGTCCGGCCTGTGGCACGCTGAGAGCATTCGTCGGAAAGAAATCGGTATAGGCTTCCACAAAAAGAAATCACAGTTGGCCGGCCACCTCTTGCGCCGCCAAGCCGTCATGCCCGCCCCGCCCTCCCGCGCCACCGCCGCGCTCCGCACGCCTCCTCCGTCTGCTGGCAGCGCGCCGGGTGGTGAAGCCCCAAAGAATGTCCTCAAGGCGGCTACGGACGGCCGCGTGGGACCGGTGCGACAGTGGCTGAATGAGGGCGGGAAGGCGGACACGCTCGCTGAGTTACCCTCTGAGGCCGGCAAGATGGTTCCATGCACGCTGCTGATGATCGCCGCACAGCACGGGCACGTGCAGATTGTCGAGCTCCTCCTGAAGCGTGGTGCGCACATCAACCTGCAGAACAGTCTCGGCAACACAGCACTGAACGGTGCCGCCTACCACGGCCGCGAGCGAATGGTGGACGTGCTGCTGCAGCACGGAGCGGAGGTAGACTCGCAAGACGCCTGGCCGGCGCTGGCAGCGGCTGCCCAGGGCGGCAAAGGGCGGGTCGTCGACCTGCTGCTGCGGCGTGGCGCAGAGATCGACCTGCAAGACAAGAACGGCGACACCGCGCTGATGCTCGCCACTTTCTACGGCCATCCCGCCGTCGTTCTCCGCCTGCTGCGGGCGGGCGCAGACATGACGTTGCGCAATGCGGACGGCAAGACGGCGCTGCAGTGGGCCAAGAATGAGGGCCACACTGAGTGCGTCGAGGCGTTCAGGACGTACCTCGGGGAGGTGGCGGCGGCGGGCCGGAGCAAGGCGCCGTCGGCTGAGGCAGGCGGCGCAGGCGAGGCGGTGGGTGCGAGTGCCGCGGCCTCTGCTTCGAGCGTCGAGGGCGGCGCGGAGGCCGAGCCGAGCGGCGGTGCGGTACCAGAGGAGGTTGCGCACGCGGCTGAGGACGGCGAGGAGGCGGTTGTGATGGCGTGGCTCGACGGCGGCGGGCGGGTGAACACGACATTCGAGTACGTCCTTTCGAGCGGCTCTCTGAGCGGCATGACGCTGCTGATGATCACAATGGCCGACGGCCGCGAGGGGCTGGCCGAGGCGCTGCTCCAGCGCGGTGCGGATGTCTCGTTGCAGTCCAACAACGGCGGCACGGCGCTGAATTCCGTGAATGGCCGCGAGAAGCTGGTCGAGCTGGCGTTGCGGCACGGCGCGGAGATCAACCAGCAAACTACCTTCGGCGGCACCGCGCTGATGGGCGCCGCCTGCAAAGGCCACGAGAAAGTGGTCGACTCGCTGATCCGGCACGGCGCAGCGATCGACCTGCAAGACAACAACGGCGACACCGCGCTGATTTGGGCCGCTGTCTACGGCCACCCCGCCGCCCTTCTCCACTTGCTCCGGGCGGGCGCAGATATGACGCTGCGCGCTCACGGCAACACCGCGCTGCAGTTTGCCAAGGAGAAGGGCCACGCCGAGTGCGTGCGCGCCCTCGCGGAGCATGCGGCGGCGGCGAAGGCGGCGGAGAAGGCGGCGGCGGAGGCGGCGTGGGCCGCAGGAGCGGCGGAGAGGGCGGCGCAGAGGGCGGCGGAGGAGAAGGAGGCGGCGCGGCATGCCGAGGAGCTGCTGGCGGAGGTCGAGGCGGAGAAGCGCGCCAAGGGCAAGAAGGGCAAGAAGAAGAAGAAGAACGGCGGCGGGGCGGGCGCGGCTGGGCCGTCGCAGGAGCCCGAGGAGGGTGCCGAGGCGCCGTCGGAGGCAGACGCAGCCGAGGCGGCGAAGAAGGCCGAGGAGGCGAGGCTTCTTCTGCTTCTCGAGACGCTCACCGAGGAGAGGATGCGGTTCGGCATCACGCCGGAGAGCCAGGCGGCGGCGTCGGCAGCGGTGGCCGAGGCGGCGCGTTTGGACGCGGAGGCAGACGAGGCGGAGGAGAAGGAGGAGGCGGAGGCGGAGGCGGTGGGAGAGGCGGCCGAGGCGGCGGACGAGGCGAGCGAGGAGGAGACAGCGGAGGGGCAGGCTGCGGCGGCGCGCGAGGAGGCCGAGGCGGCCGAGGCCGCGCGTTGGAGTGCGGAGGCGGAGGCGGCGGAGGAGGCCGCGGCGGAGGAAGAGGCTGCGTTGGCGGCGGAGGAGGCGGCGATGGAGGCCGCAATCTCCGCCGCCAAGGCGAGGCGCGCGTCGGTGGCGACGGCGAGGGCCAAGGCAGCGGCAGCCAGGATGGCGGCGGAGGCGGCCCAGCGCTCATAGAGAGCTGCTTGGGAGCACACTGCACGCATGGTTCGAACACGGGCGCGTCATCGCTGTTTCGCAGTTTCGATTGGAGGCCCCGCAGCCAATCTCGTCATCGCTGTGTGGAGCTCCGGCGCGTGGAGCCTTTGGTCGGATTTGGGCCACGGCGATCTTGAGCAGGACGTGCTGCTGCCCAAGTCGAAGGTCGAGGGTGGGGGTTGGGACAACGAGAGGAGAGGGAAGACAACATGTTTGTGCTTTTTTCTGCAAATACAAGTATAGGTAAACTCTTCTCCACACATTTGTGTGTGGTGATTATTACTAGATTGACGGGGGGTGAGCGGACTGAGGTCTGAGGACTGAGCAGTGTCCAGTGAGCACTGACATGTCTCAACGACTCAAGCCAAAACACATACACAAGTCACAACACACCTCCGTGTACTGCTTTGCACATACCGACGACACGCTTTGCGCCCTTCTCTCACTTGGCTCACGTAAGCTCCTCGGGAAAGACGTGCCCCGTCCCGCGGAGGCCTCCGCACGCATGCGCCGAGGTAGCCGGGCGCTCCGTGGGGTCCCCCATGACCTGACGCCGGAATGCCTGGATGCGATGCCAGGACGCATTCTCATAGGCGTGGCGCTGGCCTCGGATGCGGGAGACCTCCTCGCTGAGCGCGTCCTCCACATCATACTCGCGCCGCTCCAGCGCGCGCCACTCCCTCCAGCGCTTGGTAAAGGCCTTCTCGTCCCTCAGGCTGCTGAGCGCCGCCGTCGCCTGTTGGCGTGCGGCGGCGGCGCGAGACTTCGACGCGGCCCGCCGCTGCCGCAGCCATGCCTCCTCGCTCTCCCGGTACTGCTCGAGCCGCCGCTCCCCGCTGTTGTCTAGCTCACGGCGTTGGAACCCGTGATCCGTTGGTTGCATGTGCTTGACGAGCACGGGACCGCAGCGAGGCTCCACCCCCACAGCGCCGTCCCAACTCGGTGGAGCGGTACGACCTGACTACGAAATCGTGGGAGGCGGTGGCGCCGATGGCCACGGCGCGGTGTTCCTTCAGCGCGGCGGTGCTTGGCGGAAAGTTGTACGCTATGGGCGGTGGCGACCACCTAAGCTCGGTGGAGCGGTACGACCCGGCGCTGCATGCGTGGGAGGCGGTGGCGCCGATGGCGACGGCGCGGGAGCACTTCGGCGCCGCGGTGCTCGACGGGAAGATCTACGCCGTGGCCGGTTGCAATTTTGACGGCGTCGACCCTCTCAGCTCGGTGGAGCGGTACGATCCTGCTGCAAACGAGTGGGAGGAGGTGGCGCCGGTGGCGACGGCGCGAGACCATCTTGGCGCTGCCCTGCTTTGAGTTCGCGCACATGATCGTTTGACGATTGTGGTTGTTGCGAACGGGCCGTTTACTCCCTTTCCCGCACGCCGCTCGCCGGTCAAGCGCTACGATCCGAGAACGAACGCGTGCGAGGCAGTTGCGCCGACGGCGGCCGTACTGTAAGCCTTGTGCATTGGGGCCGGACAGCCTTTACATACGTGTGTGCGCGCTCTTTTGCGAATGGCAGACACGTTCTTTTGCGCATACAGAGTCCGCACCTCCCCAGGACCTCCGCAGCACCAAAGTAGAGATACGCGTTGCATCGTTTTTCTTTGAAGATTGATCGCTGTGGTGCCGTTTTTCTTCATTGCCCCGCGGCCTTAGCCCCCACAGTGGCCCCGGGCCAAGTGGCCATCGGACAGCCGCTCTCCCGCGAGTCTAGTCTTGGAGATTCTCTAGCGTGGCAGACGATGCGAACCTCGCGGAGAGCATGCTCCTCGTTCGTGCTCGCGGGTCATCCCGTGCTGCGTCGCGTCGCCACGCCGGTCCGCGGCGTCGCAGCGAGGGCCGACCTTCCACGCCTCGACGCCGCGCTTCGCAGCGCGCTCGGTGAGCACTACGGCGTGGCGGCGCCACAGCTCGGCACATCGGCGCGCGTGTTCCTGCTCCGTGCCCACGCCGACGACGGGCCCTGGATCGCGATCAACCCGTCCATACAGCGCCGCTCGCGGGAGATGGTCGCTGGGTGGGAGACATGCCTCTCGGTGCCCGGCTATGCGGCTAGCGTCGAGCGGCCCGCCGCGGTCGACGTGCGGTACGAACGGCTCGACGGCACCGCAGTCGAGCGGCGGCTGCGCGGCTTCGAGGCGCGAGTCTTCCAGCACGAGCTCGACCACCTCGACGGCATCCTGTTTACGGACAAGTGCGCCCGCTGCCTCCACCGCCGCCGCGGCCTCCCCTTGTCACCGCGCCGCCCCGCGCGCCCGCAGGGCCGACCCGCGCAGCCTGGTGCACGAGAGCTACCTGCTTGGCGATGGGCCCGACTCGGAGGCCGTGTGTGCGAGCCTGCGGCAGCTCGCGCCGGAGTACGAGGAGGAGGAGTACGAGGAGAGTGCCGGAGAGGGGCCTAGAGGACCTTGAGATGAACCTGTTCTTTAGTTGGCCCTGAACACAGGGGAGAGTTTTTGCACATTCTTTTGTGGCTGCCTGTGTAGTGCTAGCCCCCCCCTAACCCCGCCCCTAGTGCCACCCCCCTAACCCCGCCCAACCCCCTTTATGTGCGCGCACTGGCGCTGCCGCTAGGGCTGCCATAAGCTGGCTAGGGTTGTATGTGCGCTGGTAACAACAGACTCGGGCATAGCCCTGGACAGCCACCCCTTAACCCCCCCCCCCCCCCCCCTTTATGTGCGCGCACTGGCGCTGCCGCTAGGGCTGCCATAAGTTGGCGCTGCCGCTAGGGCCGCCATAAACACCTCTCCGACGTGCTCGACTATAGTCAAAATTGGACGGTGGACTATATTTCGGGTGGGTGGCCATTTGCTCAGGCGTCAGAATGCTGAGCTCGTACACTGGCAGCTCCGCAGAGGTTGAGGACAGGAAAATACGTGTAATGCGTAATGCGTATGCGTGATACGTAAGCCAGGGGGGGGGATGGCTCGGGGGCGCGCGGGGCGAGATACGTAATCCGTAAACGTGACACGTGGTACGTAGGCACCCGCCGCGCGGGCCATTGCACCGTCCCCCGGGCAAAGCTTTGCGGTGAAAAGGACGTATGCGTAATGCGGATACGTGATACGTCGAAGACGCCCCGCCACCCCGCGGGCCGCGGCGCACCGGCGGAGATCCATAATCCGTATACGTGACACGTGGTACGTATGAGGCAACCACAGGGCCATCGCACCGTCACGCACGCGATGAATACGTGTGTGTATTGACGTTTTTTATTTATTTTTGAAGGGGGAGGCGTTCGACGGGCTGCGTAATGCGACGCATTTGGACTGGCAAGTGACGCACACGCACCGAGTTTACGTATTCCCGAGAGGGCGTAATGTGATGCGTATGCATATGGGCCTCCTTGCATATGCGTAGCAGTACAGAGCACGATTGCCTACCCGCCGACCGCATTCCTGCCAAGAAGCGGCGCAGGGCCGGCACGACCTTCGCGGCGGTGGGCGCGGCGAGTCGCGCCTCCTTCTCCGTGTCAAAGTCGAGCAGGAAGAGGTTGAGCGCCTTTGCGAGCGGCAGGAAGGCGGAGAGCAGGTCGAAGAGCGCCTCGTTGGTGCGCGTCCAGAGGAAGCTGATGTGGTTGGGCAGCAGGGCGTCGCCCTTGCGGAAGAGGAGGACGCCGCGGCGGGGCAGGCTCGGGCCGGCGTAGGCCAGGTCGGCGCTCTCAAAGGTCGAGAAGGGCGGCGCCTTGTTCACGGCCGCCAGGGTGAGCGAGTCCGCGGGCGACGTCTCCGAGAAGCGGTTGCAGCCGTCGCCCTCCGACGCGCAGAGGAAGAGCGGATCGTTGACGCGCGCCTCGAGCGCGCGGCCGAGAGGGCACGCGAGACACGCGCGGCCGAGTGCGAACTCGCCCGGCTGCGAGAGCGCCGTGCCGCTCCCCGCCGAGTGGCCCCAAATGCCCCAGCGCCGCGGCTCGTCGCCTAGAGCCGCCTGCGTCGCGGCGACGATGGCCTCGCGCGTGACGCCCTCCCGCGCCTCGTACGACGCGGCGAGCGACTCGGGCAGCTCCGGCGCCGCGACGACGAACCCGTCGCTCGCCAGCGCCTCGCAAGCGTGCGCCATGTCGAACGGCGAGCCGAGAAAGCCGTGCGCGAAGAGGAGCGCGTCGCCGGCGCGCGCCTGGGACGCGCAAGCCGCGCGGCGCCAGGGAGGCACTCCCGCCGGAGCGAGCGAGTAGGTCCTCGACGGCAGCCAAGATAGCCAGCCGACGCGGAGCTTGGAGGCGATCCGGCCAATGTCAACCGTGTAGCCGTACTCCCCCGTCGGCACCCACGCGCCGCCACCGCCGGTCGGCCCCGGGGCAAAAGCATTGGCCCTGCGCATGGGAGACAGCGGCGAGCTCAATCGGTGTGCTGGGTGTGCCAGAAGCCCAAGCATAAGCGCACCGGGCACGTCGAATTCTCTTCGCCCGGCGTGCACACATCTCCGACGTGAAGCTTCAGCCCGAGGTTGACGACGCCATTCCGGAGGCCCGCCTCAACCACGGCTTGTTGCGCATCAGTCAAGTCCTCGGTCACAGCCAGAGTGTTACCCGTGGACGGCCGAGGTGGGTGCAAACTTGGCGCACGAGTTGCCCTCCTTGCAGCTCCTGCGACGACCGCCAGCCGGACACAGTAGCTACCCTCCGCCCGTAGTAGAGATCGGGTGGGGAGGCGTTCGTCTTCACTTGTGTTTGGGCACAGACGGTTACTGGACCGTGTACGTCAAACACCACTACTTAGGAATGGCCGTAGCTCCTCTCCACGAGCGATTCAGAAGACGTACCAAAAGTGTCGATTCTGTATAGAATTGCGAGCCGCACACGCTGGTGCAGGCGGCGAGTCGTCGATCCGACTAGCTCCGACGTTAAGTCTGCAATCGGGGGGGGGGGGGGCTGCCCGGGGATTGATCTCCCACTCTTGTGTGTCATTACCCATTCACACTCTCGTGTGTCTTTACTCGATCCCAATTATTGGGAATTGGGTTCGTATATTCGGATACGACGTAGTCTACAAAGGGTGTGCGATCGCTCCTGCGTGCACTGCCCAGGCTCGTCGCCAGGGACGGCGGGGTTAGACCCGCGCTCCCAACTACGACGCGTGCTAGCTGACTGTAGCCAGCTTCCCGGCCTCCGGCGTCTACCGGGAGCCTCCCGGACCATCTCGACCTCTCGGGAGCTCTCCCGCACCATTTAAGCGTTTAAGACCGTTTAAGGAATCGGCGGCCCAGCAGCTCTTAAAACCTGCCCGGGCAGAGGTTTTAAGCCGTTAAGCCGCAGGCGCCCTAGGGCCCATCCTTTTAAGCCTCCTCATAGGCAGGGGTATCCTAACACCTAAGAGCACGGCACCGGGCCGGTGCTTTTGCACTTTGAATGCCGTAGGGCTCCTGCCCGTGTCGCCGTGTCCCGGGGGCGCGTGGAGATGCGACAGGGTCGCCCCCCCCCCCGGGCCCCGGTTGGGCCAGGTACCAATTTTGTCGAATTTATTTCAAAATCTGCAGGCGCGGAGCGCCTGCGAAAATTTTGAAGAAATTTGCAGTCGGGCCTGATTTTCATCAAGATCTTTCAAATTTGCGGTGCGGAGTTGGGGGGTGGGTTAGGTTAGGGTTATTAGGGTTAGAGGGTTAGGGTTAGGGTTAGGGTTAGGGTTAGGGTCAGGGTTAGTCTTGTTGTGTCTGTATATGCCAGCGTTGCAGGGTTCTGCGCTGGTATCTGGCCCCACAGCGCCGACGACTAAGACTCAGCCCCACACGCTGACCTAGGGTTAGGGTTAGGGTTAGGGTTAGGGTTAGGGTTAGGGTTAGGGTTAGTCTTCTTGTGTTTGTATGCCAGCGTTGCAGAGTTCTGCGCTGGGATCTGGCCCCAGCGCCGACGAGTAAGACTCAGCACCGCACGCTGACCCCACCAAATGCCGCCTCAGGGCGCCAGGCCGCCAGCCACTTCTTACACGCGGCCGGCGCCCTCTCGCGGCAAAAGGGTCGAGCGAGCGGGCAGAGTCGCGATGTCCCTGCGCACCTGGGTGTTCGCCGCCTATATGCTCTATCCGGTGCCAAGACGGACACATTTTGACAATCAAAATCTACCTCAAAATTTGCGGCCGCCCCTCGAAATTTGCTGATCAAAATTTGCGGTGGCCCGGATCGAAACCTGTACTTTGGCCAAGGCCCCGGGCGGCGGCCGGCGCCCCCGCGGCCCTCTTGCCCTCCACGGCTCCAGCTCTACCCCAATCTTTTGGTATACGTACACTTTATTTGTGGAGAGAGACGTTTGTCGTTTCCTCTCTACCTTACCGTACCTTACCTTTTAGAGCCCCCCCCCCCTCGAGAGCGAAGCGCGGCCGGAGAGAGAGGTGAGATGGACCGGCTCGTCGGGGGCAAGAGCGCGACACCCCTCCCTTCCGACCCAGCCGTGCACTCCTGCACTCAGGTCGGGCACCGCTCCCCGCCGCTCCCGCTGCTCCGCTGGAGCCGCTCCCAGTCCGCGGCGCCCACCTCGCCGCGCATCTCGTACAGCTCCTTGACCGCGGGGTCGCTGCTGACGAGCCGGTCCATCTCGGTGCGCACGAACCTCTGGAGCGCGCGCTGCTCCGCCTTGAGCGCGTCCACGCGCCGCCGGTCGTAGACGAGGCGCGCGAGCATCGGCCGCAAGTCGCGCAGCGCGATCATGCCCGACTCGACGGAGATGACGCCGAGGAAGGAGGCGATGGGCGCCACCATGAGGAGCGTGAGGACGTCGGAGCGCGAGAGCGGGGTGGCGAGCAGCAGCAGCGTCGCGTAGCTCAGCCAGAGCAGCGGCACCGCGACGAGGGAAAACTTGATCTTCTCGCTGAGCACCACGTCCGACGCGGTCAGCTTGACCTTGGAGCCGCGCAGAGCGGCCTGCTGCCGCCAGCGCGCCCACGCGACGGCTGCGACGCCGACGGGCAAGTTGAGGGCGAGGGAGGGGAGCGAGGCGAGGAGGAGCGCCGTCACCATGTGGCCGAGCGAAAACAGCGTGGAGAAGAAAGGAGCCACCTCGAGCTGCTGCACCTGGCTCTCGCGCAGCCCGAGGTCCTGCAGCTGCCGGTTGTACCGCCGCAGCCTCGCAACCATCGTCGCAACCTCTCGCCGGCGAGCGGAGACGGCCTCGCTGCCGGGCGGGCTGGCGGCCTCTTCGAGGGCGGCGAGGTCGGTGCGCGAGGAGAGGCGCGAGAGGTGCTCGAGCGGCAGGTCCGCCTCGCCGAGCACGCGCCGGATCGCAAAGGCGAACCGGCGGTCGAGGTCCTGCCGCACTGCGGGGCGCAAGTCCCGCCGCCCGAGCCCGCGGCTGCTGCACCAGAGCCGGCGCGTCGAGTGGATCAGCCGGAGCTCGTCGATCGACGCGGCGGGCACCATGACGGCGCGCAGCGCCTTCTTGATGCGGCCGAGCAACGCGGCGGTCGCCTCGCGCCGCTCCTCGCCGCCGGCGGCGTGGCTGGCTCGCTCGTCCTCCGAGACGTGGATCGGGGGTCCGATGTGGACGGTCACCTTTGCGCCGATAGAGTGGCCCCGGAAGTAGGAGAGGCCGATCGGGACGATGGGGACTGGCCGGCTCACGCCGAGAGCGATCAGCGCGACGCCAGGCTTCAGCTCGAGCAGGTCGGGCTGGTCGTGGGATCCGCCCTCGGGGAAGAGGCAGATGGCGCCGCCGCGCTGCAGCGTCGCGCGCGCCTCTGCAAACGCCTCCTCGTAGTCTCCCCGCGGCAGCACCGTGTACGAGCCTTGGCGAGGCAGGCTGGCCTGCGGGTCGGCTGGCGGATCCACCAGCGCCGGGTCCAGAGAGAGCAGCGCCACGCAATGCGACTCCACCGCCCTCACGCGCCACACCCAAGCGCGCCCCGACGCGCCGTCAGTGTACCTCAGCTTCGCGCCGTCAGTGAACTCCACGTCGAAACGGCACGCCTGCGAGATATGGGGGAGATATGGGAGATATGGGGAGATATGAGCTCCAGTCGAAACGGCACGCCTGCGACACGCGGCGCCGAAAGAGGGGAACGTCGGAGGAGGCTCGGACGTGTCTCGGAAGAGTCTCGGAAGTCTCGGAAGTGTCGCCGGCGCCTCGCTGCCGGCGAGCCGAAACGCGTCGCCGTCGTCTTTGTCAAGCCGGAGGAGGCGGCCGGAGCCTGCGATTAATGACTGGACTAGTTCAGCACGTGATTCACTCACTGTTCGAGCCGGCAAAGCGGTATGGAGCCCTTGAAGGCGATGTCCTGCGGCCGCGTCACCGGCACCGCGGCGAGCACGCGCGCGAAGAAGCCGACGAGCGGCGTGTTGTACGACTTGCGCGCCACCAGGAAGCCGATCTTGCGCTGCTGGACCGAGCAGACGACGCACATGCCGTCCACGAACTGAGGCGGCGAGAACGGAGGGGGCGGGTGGGTGGGTGGGAGGGTGGGGCGGTGGGGGGAGGCTGTGCGCGCGGCGTATAACCCGGCGGCAGCGTGGGTCGCCGCGCCGCTAGGCAAAGTTCCGCGAGCGTGCTGCTGTCGCCGGCTCATTTGGGCGTCCGCCGCCGCGGGGGAGGGGCGGCGGCGCCAGGTAAAGGCCGGCAGGGTGGCGTCGTGGCGGGCGCGGCGGCGCGCTGGGGAGACCGCGCCTGGTTGGAGTGGTTTGCCACGAGGATGACGGGGCCGGCGAGCGGGATGTGCTCCGCGCCGATGACCTCGACGTTGCTGATGACGATCGACATGATGGCGTTGAGGAAGATGCGCGCCGCGTAGAAGCACACGTTGGCAAAGTCACGCTGCACCGCCCAGGCCAGAAGCAGGACAAAGAACCAGCCAAAGATGTAGCTCGCGTCGTCGTCATCGAAGAGGAGGAGGCTCACGCGCTTGACGGGGTTGAGCTGGTCGAAAGAGAAGCAGAGCAGCGCACCGAGGATGGCCAGGTGAGTGTTTGTGGAGGTGTTGCTGCCCAGCACCGCGCGCGGTGGCGGGCGCGACATCGACATTCGCGCGCGGTCCTGCCGGCGGCGGCGAGCGCGATGAGGAGGCGGCGGAGCCACCCGAGCTAATGGCTCCAAAAAAAGCCGAAATAAAACCGCCCGCGCGTCCCGCGCCCGGGGAGAAATGTCGTCCTTGGCCACGTGCCCCGCTGGCAAACCACAAGAGAGGGTGGATAGAGATAGGCGCCTCAGGCGACCGCTCGTCCTGCCCCTCCCCTCAGCAGAGCGGGCGAGAATGCTAAAGCATTCACGCCACAGTCGGGCGCGGGATCGCCGGAGAGAGAGAGGGCGAGACGGTGGCGGGGCCGCGGCCGAAAAAGGCTAGGAGGGGGGGCCGGGCCCCGCATCCGTTGCCCAACCAGCGGAAAGCGAGTGGGGGGAGGATCGAGGGGATAAGAGGGCCCCTCCGGACCGAGGGGGGGAGGCCGAACGGAGAAGCCTCGAGGGGTGACGTCGAGTGAGGATGTACGTCGTGTGCGTCGTGGGCGCTCCGCTGCTAGGGGAAACCTGGAGCGCGGACTAACCATCGGAGACCCGTGTTTACTTTACGGCCCTCTCCCTGCGAACGCGCACCCCCGCCCCTAGCTAGGGGTCAGGGCTCTCTAGCCCGTAGCCCGATCCCGATCATCCGGCCCGCTGGGTGCGCTTCTTAGCTCCCCGGCCCTGGATGTGAGGCTAATGACTGCACTCCAAGTGCTCCAAAAAGAATTTTCGCGCCCCTTGCAAAAATC